CCACGTTCTCTCGACCTTCTTCGTAATATGGGCCTCAAGTCGGCCATCATGGCCCACAAGCCTGCTCGAGTTTACGAGGTCGCTTTTTGGGACCCACCCAAGTCAGGCAACGGAATCGCCAGAACGGGAACTTGGGCGAGTTGCCCGGAGTTTATCGATGCCAGATACCCCTTCACGACTCTTTTGCACCAAGGCCATATCGAGCGCGTTTTCCTTGGCGACCTGGAGAAGAACGGCGTGCAGGTTCAGAGGCCCTGGACCATTACGGGGTTCTCCTCCAACGAGGCCGAAAACCCAGAGTACCCTGTCGAGGTTAAACTCGAGCATGTCGATGGGACCGCCCAGGAAACGTTGCGTGCCAAATATCTCTTTGGCGGCGAAGGTGCTCGTTCCTTCATCAGGAATCAATTACAGATTGGCATCAAGCACAAGGATCCCATTTCTTACGTATGGGGTGTCATGGATGGCGTTGTTAAGACCGACTTTCCCGATATCAAGGTAAGCAGACGTGCCGAGGTTGATCCTGCTGGTTACCGTATTGATTTTGGAATAGATGAAATGCACAATCCACAGTAAGCACGGTTCCATCATGGTCATTCCCCGAGAGGACAACATGGTCCGTCTATACATTCAAATTGCATCCTCGACGGATCCAGACTTCGACCCACGCAAGACGGCAACCGAGCAAGAAGTGCAGGAGTCGGCTCAGCGGATTCTCCAGCCGTATTCCATCGAATGGGAGAGAACGGAGTGGTATTCAGTGTACCCTATTGGGCAAGGAATTTCGGACCGCTACACTCTGGATCAGCGGGTGTTCCTTGGAGGCGATGCTTGCCACACCCACAGCGTATGTGATACACACAATATTGGAAACAAGCTTCTTTACTGACTAGAACATCAGCCCAAAGCCGGCCAGGGCATGAACACTGCGTTCCTTGACGCCCAAAACCTGGCCTGGAAGATCCATGCTGTCGAGGCCGGGTTCGCACAGCGCGATATTCTCAAGACTTACGAGACTGAGAGAAGGGACGTGGCAGAGACGCTGCTCGACTTCGACAACAGGTACGCTAAGCTGTTCTCTCAACGACCTGATGCCGCAAGCGAAGCTCAGGCGGCTACCGAGAATGCCGGCAAGGAGCAGTCCGAGAACGCTTTCATCAAGACTTTCAAGGAGTCTTGCGAGTTCACGAGCGGTTATGGCGTAGCCTACAAGCCAAATGTGTTGAACTGGTCCGAATCGCACCGGGCCAAATCATCCTTGATCCACCCCGAGGGTACGAAGCTCCGCACTGGCCGTCTGTTCATGAACGCCGATGTTACGAGGGTTGTCGATGCCAATGTTGTCCACCTGGAGCAAGAAATTCCACTCAACGGTTCCTTCCGCATCTTCGTCTTTGCTGGAAAGCCTTCGATCACTCGCAAGGCCCTTGGAGATTTCGCTAGTCATCTCAACAACAAGCGTTCATTCTACGCCGCCTATGTGAGAGAAGACGTGGACAGTGTATCACATCACGAGCAGCACAACCCTCACAGCAAGTTCTTCTCATTCTGTACCATCTTTTCAGCAAAGAGAAGCAGCATCGAGATTTCGCGCGATGTCCCAGAAGTACTGGGGCGGTACCGCGATCACGTATACGCCGATGACAGGTGGGACCGCCACGTACCGAACGCCAAGGCTGCTGCGCACGCCAAGCTGGGACTTGATGAGGAAAAGGGTGGCGTTGTTGTTGTGCGCCCTGATGGTTACGTTGGTATGGTTGCGAAACTGGTGGAAGGCAGTGGCACTGTCGATGCATTGAATGAGTACTTTGGCACATTCTGCACCAAGAAGCTCGGGGAGACGCTAGCCCAGCTGTAATGTACCTGAGTAGGGTTGGGCAAGAGTGTGCGACGATGATTCAGGAGAGGTTTTCAGAGAAGTTGGTGTACAAGTACTGAGTTGGGTTACTACTTGGCGTACTGGAGCGAAACATAAGAATTTCTGCAAGAGAGGGGAGATTATTCCGATTTCACCTTTCAGGATGGATTGACATCATAGCACCGCCTGCAAATTTATTTGATCAACCAGCAAAAAATGCATGCCACTTCTCCATCGATTGTAGAGTCCAAACCACCTGCGGGGAAATAACCACTTCACAAAGGTCGAGATTCAGCGGATTCCGATGGATATAAGTAGAAGCGGCTTGAGACGGAAAAGAAGGGACTTAGATGCTTGAGGAACCCAGGGGACCTTATTTACGAAAGCTGCCTGAAGGCAAGCCGCAGCCCATTTGCGATGAGAGTACCTTACCTTGTTGATCAACAAATTATCGTGTCAATTTTTGAAGCCGTTTCGCTCCTTCCGCTGCTTGAAGCGCCGGTTGTACACCTCTTGAGCTACCTACCTTACCTTAGTGGGGCGGGAAATAGAGCTGCCAGAAGAATGAAGCTACCTTAATTGCTTAGGTTAGTCGCAAGGGAGGTACCCTAGGTACATGATCTACGTACCTTAGGTAAACACCACCTGCATCGCAACTTCCATTCTCAAATCCAATCTCCACCGTGTCTGCCGTCTGCACCTTCCATCCTCTAACGTGCAACTCTTTGAGGCGCGCATGCCTTTTCGACCTCTTGTTGCTACCTACATTGAGCATATTTCTCAAGGAACAGCGGTGCACCTTCTTCTTCTTCCTCTTCCACAACAACAACAAAAGCGCGTCGCCTTTTGAGCCCCCCCAACTCCTCCCCGATCCCCCACCTGCAACCGATTTCAACCTTCCATCACGACCGATTTCTAGCATCGCGACACAACCCGCCTTCCGATCCAGCCAAGCGCCTTCGCACTAATTCTTGATCGCGCAGCTTCAGAAGCACAGTAAACACCCCGGAATTCAATTTTCTCGCTTTCTCGCACCTTTCATATTCGCCTGCTTCCTTTCGCGCCGGGTCAAAGTTGACCTCCACGATGCTTTCTACTTCATCTTCAAGCCTCGCACCTTCTAAGCTAACCAACATGGCTCCAGACCGACAGCAGATACCGAGCCGCCGAGGCTTCCCTCCGAACCCTCAAAAACTAGCCGACTTCTTCGATCCTTTCAGACATCGTCGAGAAAACCCCACCGAGATCGAGAAGCCTAGAACTTACAGACCCAGCCCTATCCCAACGCCCCTCGTCAATTGCCTCGCCAACCCAGGCCTCAATCACCGCGGTCCCCTCTTCGGTACTAATGCTACTCAGCAACTGACCGCCTATCCTCAAACTACCAACAACTCTCACACCTTCCACACCCAAGTTCCATTTGCGCATTCGCCGATTGCTCAAGCTGAGCACCAGAAGGCCCAGAAAGCGCAGCATCTGACAGACGCTACGCTTAGAAAGGCCGGGGAGTCTTCTGGCTCAACCAACACGGTTCACTCGCCCCACAGAGATCGAAAGCCCTTGCGTGGGATTCTGAAGAAAGGACCTGCCCTTTTCACGCGATCGTCGGGACCCACCAGCTCTTCTCTCTTTACACCGGCTGCAACGAAGGTCAAGAGGTTGCGATTCCGTGCTCAATCGCGCAGCGCAGGACTGGGCCCCTCAAAGAACCGGAAGTACAATAGGTTCCCTGCAGAGGATCCCTTCATTCGTCAGCCCCCTATCAAGGCGACACCCTTCCCGAAATCAAATCAGTCCGCATATCTCAGACCGGTAACTACTCTATGGAGACCTGCGCCGAAGGCTTTTGATTTCAGCGCGACTCTTCGGCACCAACCTACTCTACACAAGCCATCCCCAGCTTCTCACGTCGCCGCCTATCGAGCACGCCGCCGTAGATTGAAGGAACTCGTTATCCAGCGAGAGGGAAGAATCGATCTTTTTGGCCCGAGTGGTCCGATTCTCAAGCCCGCCCAAAGAATACAGGGCAAGCATACTACTATCGGAAGCGTCTCCACGAGAAAGTGCTTCCAACCATCTTCGAGCTTTCATCTCTGCAACTCTAACTCAGAAGCCGAGACGGAGTCTGAGGATACTGAGTCCAGCTCAGAACCCGATTCGGAACTCAGCTCGCCATCCGTGGTACCCCCGGGTGCCTGGTCATTCAGCCCAGGCCAACAAACAATCATCATCCCTCCCAACGAACCAACGCTCATAGAAGTGAACGACGGTTCAGCAACTCGAAGGATCTTCGTACGGGGGTCGCGCCAGAAGACGATCACAGTTCAATCTATCGAACAGGAATCACGGGCTCTGGATCAAGGCTCACCCAACAGGACCCCGACACGAAAGCGACAAGCTGAGGACTCAGAGTTCGACCTCATTCTGGCGAATGCGACGGATGGGAAAGAGCCTCTGCAGGAGCCGCTCGCGAACGCTCGAGGCGCTGCCGTTCTGGACTCAAACGAAGAAGACGTACGTTGTTTGGTAATCTTACATCACGGCCGGTGCTAATTATGTGTGACAGAGACCTCGAGCTTATACGAATTGGCTCACCAATATCATGACATCAGTCCGTGGCACGGTCACAAAAGTCTCCAACAGCATTGTTGGCTACGGTTAGCTTGCTTCAAGAAGACAATCACGAGCCCATTCTAATTCGGTCACAGTGTACCCCCGCAATCATCATCTCATCGCTGTAGAGCGGCTCTCCCGTGGTCAGCAGAATGGCAACACTGGCACGAAGCGCATCAGGTTGGAGGTTGTCGATGATTTTGCCGATGAGAGCTTCACTCCAAATGCGGAACCATCCAAAACCAATCTCGTTTGGGTGGATGAGTCAACCCGAATCGCTTACTGGCATCACATAGCCCCTCTTGTCCGCACCTTGAGGAGTATCTGCCACCGAATCGAAAAGAGGCGATCGCAATCCAGGGAAGGGTCCCCTATCACTCGACTTGACGACCAAACCCAGGAGCAGCAGATTTACGTCCTAGGTCCATACCTTGATACTTTCCGACAGACTGCTTGGATAGTTGAGAGTGTCTACTCTCATACGTTCTTGGCAGGCTTGAAGACGAACTTCAAGGTCCCCCAGTCGGTCATGGACTACACTTTCAGCCTTGAAGAAAACTTTGCCATTACCGTGGCTCAGCGCTTATTCGAGCATTTCCCTGAAGAATGCAATCCTGTGCTGGTTGAGGCTGGCGTCTCACGCCGCATTATCAAAGGACTCAGCGCTGACTTAGCCGCTCTGGCTAGTCGAAAGCCAATGCCTGGACTCGTTCAACGGGCTGGTATAGTTGGAAAGGTCATGAAATTTTTTCGAGGGCGTGAAAGCTTCGGCATCGAGGTATCCGAGGACCCGATCTCGAGGATCGACATCGCAATGCCCGGTAGCTTTCCAGATATCCAAACCAACGACGAAGTTTCGGATGAGGCGGAACCTTCCATCAAGGCCCCAGATGAACGACAGATCCTGCCCGCCCAGGAAATCACAAAGCCAGGAAGTTACTACCCTCCTGCAAGAACTACGGAAGCGTACACGTTTGTCAAAGACCAACTGGCCGACATCGCATCCCAACGCAGAGCTACGTACAAGAATGCACCCTCAGGCATTGTATCAGACGACTTGGCCTGCAAACCAAGCCCCATCTCTGCCCTCAAAAGAGACAACCATTCACCTGCTTCACTGAAGCGACTCCAGAAGTCGAGAGGCCTCAAAAGGGTGCATTTCTCACCATCCGCCAAGCAATCTACCCCTTCACCGGCGAAATCAAGGGGCTTCCTCAGCCGAATTTTCGGCTCTCCTACCGTTTCCGGATCACCACTGGGACGACACGTTATTGATGCCAGCCCTCTGAGCGATTCTCAGGTTGACGGCTCGTCAGACGGCCCTCACACTACGATGCCGAATCGACATTCAGACGCCACTCCAGAACCTGGCGATGTATTAGAAGAGAGCGATAGCGAGCAAATCGCGGCTCGCTGTCACCCCCAATTGCTGGAGCATCTCAACAAATCCTTGAATGGCCTTGAAGCTAAGGGATTCTTCGCCAAGGATGAACCGCAAGACTTATCATCCAGCCCATCCAGCCCACTTACACCTCCGACCCTGGCAGGTCTAACCATCTCGGATGACAAAGAAGAGGAGCTTGAAGATCTCTCTCTCGCCCTGCAGCTATTGCTTGATGTCGACGAGGCACGCCGAAGAGAAGAAGAGGAGAAGAAAGCTAGACAGGCAAGAGAGGAGAGATTGTTGAAGACGGGTGGACTTCGCGCTCCTCAGAGACCTTTAGTCACATCATTACCTGCTGAATGGGTTGAGAAGGTGCAAGCCACGATGCAAGCCAATCCCTCGCTGACACTCGCGACGACGGCTGAAAGCGTTCCCCTCAAGAAGCACGACTTCGCCATGGTAGTTCCACCAACTGTGTGGCTCAACGACGAGATTGTCAATGGCGCATTGCAATGGCTGGATCGATACGTCAATGTGGCTGCAGGCGCCGTAGATGTGAAGGCACCGAACAGAGTGTGCGTCGCCATGGGATCGTTTTTCTACAAGAGACTGGAGGAGAATGGTGTTCAAAACACCGAACGAGCACTTCGCCGTTACGGAATCAACAAGAACAACTTTCTCAATCTGGAGACGATCCTCATGCCAATCTGTAAGAACAACCATTGGACATTGCTCGTCATCCGGCCCAAGAAGCGAACCGTATCGCATATGGATTCCTTCAACCCTGCGGGCTCATCCACGCATACTACTAGAGCCTTGAACTGGGTCCAGGCCTTCCTGGGCGGCGACTACAAGGCAAGCGAATGGAAAGTTGTCATTCATGAGGCTCCTATTCAGACCAATGGGTACGACTGTGGTGTCTTTACGATCACCAACGGAATGTGTCTTGCGCTTGGCCTCAATGCTATCGACGCCTACTCGGGCGAGGATTTGCCAGAACAACGCCTGAGAATCGCTGGTATGCTTCTCAACAAAGGCTTCAGCGGCGAATTCGACCTCGCCGATCTATAAAACACCAATACACACCTTCCAAGCTTGCAATAGGTTTGGTGGACCCGAGGGCCCCAGCGGACTTTAGGACCATTAAAGAATCATACTGTTGAGCAAAGCCGAAGCAGGATGATGGAAGGATGAACATGGGCCTTTGGCCGGACACTCCAGCTAGGCTACTTTTCTATTGGCATTACTATTTTTATTCGTGAGAGGGATGTGTGGTTTTCGGGTGGCTAGGCGTTGTCTAAAGATATTGGGAGTTTCGGATGGATACCACAGAAAAGCCAGGTGGATAGGCTTGTTGGAATTCTTTGTACAAGTGTTTGTTTGAATGTATGTCGGAACACCACTGTTTGTGCCTGACATCTCGGAAAGATAGATGGAAAGAGCACCCGTTTCAAGTTTGCATGAGACCTGATCACGAGAAAAGAGCAAACTAATACTGCGCTGTCCAGTGAAACTGTGAATCCCTTCGCAGGCGCCCTGCGACGAGTTCATCCGCATCAAAGACATGTGTAAGCCTCCGTCCCTTGACTTGGCCGAACGAGCCTAGCCGGCTGGACTTTGCTTCAACTAAAATTTCAATCATCACATGGGTGTCCAAGATCGGGTCCAGGCAACTAACTGTGCGTTGCCGAAGACGATGGGATGGATATCATGACAGCTCGTTAGATGCAGTCCCACTCCATGGGACCACACAAAACCACACGCTTACTGTGTACCTACCTGCCTGTCTGCCTACCTGAATCATTTTTGTCTCGTCAAAGTGACTGCCGTCCCCAATGGCTCGGGTCCGGTGCCGGCCGCGTACAAGAACAACCTGCAGAGACCGTACGGATACACGACGTCCTCAAGCCCAGGACCCCTCCTCCTCCTTGCCGGTCTCTTGCCGGTTCCTTGCCGACATTGAACCACGCTAGATCACTGCGGCAAGCTTCAAATCCATGACTGATCAAGGGCCAAGCAAGATGTTTACTTCCAAGCCTGCGGGGGACCGATTTTCCGATGGAGGCAACCAACCTCCCCCCCCCCAGCGGTAGGCAGACCGAGCCAAAAAATTGAACAAGTCCAAGTTTCAGGTGCGGGACGCCGGCGAGAATCCCTTCCGCGCCGGACTTGTGGGATGCTTGGTTTCCTTGGCTTTTCTCTGATCCAAGGTGTCATGGACTCATGGTTGGGGCAAGACGTATCCGAATTCTACTCTTCTTCCACTTTGCCCCCTGCTGGATGGGGCTCATCGCCGCCCGCCGCCGCGAGCTCACATGTCACGAGCAGTGTAGACTGCATTTTTACAAAACATTAACGTAACAGCATACATTCGAGCACGTAGCGTAGCGGGGATGCAAAGGCCGGGAGTGTGAACGAGATTCTCCCAGAGAAGCCACTGGTATGGGGACCAGGGGAGCCTTTCCCACCTCGACGCGTTGTCGTTGGGTGCTCGACGGACGGACTCTCTTCTCTTCTCTTTTTTTTTTTCCTTGGAAGGGGCAAAGGTGTTCCCGGCGGTCAAACGGATGTGTGTTCCACGCTACCGAGGGTTATGGAGTGAGGCCAAGAGGCGGGCTGACAGCCTTGACACCGAAAGAATTCTCGTTGAGGGGACAGAGAGAGAGAAAGAAGGGGGAGAAATTGACGAGCGCCACCACCAAACTCCCACGACTCCGTAAAGCGCCAGGGTCCAGCTCCCACGATCGACCCAGGGGTTTTGAGCTGTCCCGTCGATTTGACACAAGGTGAGATAGTCGCCCAGGGGGGGCAAGCGGGCGGGAAGAGGTGGGCACGGTTTCTCTTCTCAGCCAGCCCCATCTCCCTTCCGCTTTGCTCCTCGCGCAGGCTCAAAAGGGTTTTTTTGAAGGGGTCCAACGACTCAGGCGGCTGCATTGTCGAGCAGATGGCGCTTCCGAGTGGCGAAAATCACCGAGGTTTCGTGAGAAAAGGGGTTCGTTGAGAAATCTGTAGACTTGGGTAGCACCCGTTTCTTCTTGCGAGACAGTTCTGGGTGAGCGGAAGCCCCGCGCCGTTTTGCGCGCGCATAGACTCCATCTGTCAAATCTTTGATGGCAAGAAAATTGGAACTCGAGGTTCGCCTTTTACGCTTTCTGGCAATATTTTCTGCCCGCCTTTGGCCCGCCAAAACAGAGCAATGAGACTGAAATTGGCGGCGCGGAGAGTCAAGTCGCTGGCCAAATCAGCGATCGAATGCCAAGAGATTCTGCTTGCCTCAGATGCGTGTGTCTACTTCACGTGTCCGAGTAACATGGAATCCGAGTATCTGTATTCTCATCCTGTCTTTCTCTTCCGCGGCATCAGGGACGGGCGGCGGAGCCTGGGGATAGGGAGATCGACTTAAAGTTCCTGCCGATCGTTGACAGTACGAACTCGGGCACGAGAGCAGGGTCCAGTATCCGTACAATTGTACTCTGCGTGTCTGTAGTCTGTACTTGGACATGGAACGTGAGCGGGCCGTCAAGAGTCATGTCCCTCTGTGTAGGTGGCAGCCTACCTCAAGAGCGGAATTTGGGGGCATGCTGCGCGGAACAAGCAATCCACGCAAGTTTAGAAGTTGGTCAGAGAGCGGCCTAGTGATTTCAGGTAGCGAGAAAGAAGTATGGGCATCCACATGTTGCCCATGAGATCGCACTATCTATCGATGAGGTTGTTTACGCTGTACGGATCCTCGACAAGCGACAACTCCGGACGACGGCAGAAGGCGATAGCCGAAGACTGCTCAGACTCTCAAGATCCAATCTCTGTACGGAGTACAGACGTCCATCCGACCTAACGCTAATTGTGGAGATTAGGAGACTGGCGGCCGGGCTGGTGTTTCTAGATTTGATGTCAATGCGGTCATGAGATTGTGGGCAAATTTGTATCCGCAGTGCTTCGGAGGAAGAGAATGTGTCAAGAGTCAGTCGAGGTCCACAGAAAGAACTGCTTGAGTAAAACGAGACCAAGACGTCTAGACCGATGATGACCTAGCAAGTGCGAATATCAACATATTGAGCCTAAATTGTCAAAAAGGAAACAGTATGTATGTTGAGATTGCACCCGAGGGTTTGGGAGCTATCGGGTTTCCTCCCAACAACGGATGTTGACCGTGTAGCGCCCAACGCCATTGCCATACTTGAATCGGCGGCGCGGCGCGATTCGGAGACAGTACCCTATTTGTTGGGTCAGCCGGCCGGGTTCGCCTGGGCATGTAGCCTCCCGTCGTTCTGAGGTAGAAGTTTGAATCGCATTGGGTGCGAAAGTCAGAGCGCACCAAGGGCACCGTCGGTCTTCCCACCGTTCTACGAAGCTGCGAAGGCTGGGGAATGGGGGCAGTTGAGGCCGGGCGTCTTCGTTGGAGCGGATGTCGGGCTCGGGAATGTGTGGGATAGACACGACAAGTATGCGTAGAGACCGTCTTTGCGGTGCGATTCGGGGTCCCGGCGACGCCGTCGGCGCTACGGAGATTTTTTTGCATCGTTGGGTCCCTGCATCGTACCGTGGGCCATTCAGGTGTTGTATTCATACACCGCAATGCGACACGCTGCTGGAGCGTAGAACTGGGCTGACTATCTAGGGATCCTCACATACCAATGTACGGATACACGTTGTCTTATTCCATGCTTCAGGTGGTTAAAACCCAGGGAGAGGGACCCAGGTGCATGTGGCCGGCATGGTCCGGGATCAGGTGGTTTTGTGGTTGTGGTGTTGTAAGTGACAAAGAGGCTTGCAAAGTTCCATCAAGCATGCCTTGTCCTCTCTGCATCCAACCAAGTTCCCGGCACGGGTTCGATTGGCTGACTGCTCCGTGCCTCCGGACAAGCATCCAGGATTAGGAGAGCGAAAACTCCGTATCCATACGTGACCTGGAAGTTGTAGGCTGGCACAGGTCTCCATGGTCTTCTGGGGCTCCAGCGAAGTTTGAACAAGATAGTCCATGTCGGACGTCGTTCGTTGGGTGCCGCCACTGCGTCGCCGTGAGCGCGTCAGTGTCAGATTTCAGTGCTGCGTTCCACCCGCAGCCGCCGACCAAGCAGACGGAGATTTTGGGGCGGAAGAAGGATCGGGATCCAATTGATGGTTGCCAGTTGGGACCAGCCATCAACATCAACGGAGATTGGAAAGTTGCTAGGACGAAAGGGGAAGGCTTCCAGAAGCAAACATTTTGCCACAATGGCTTCTCCCTCTCCCGCGATGCTTCCACATCCATGCCGCTTCGGGTTTATTAACAGGGAACAGTCAGACGTGCAGACAGCCCAGGCCTGTTTCCATCTTCTCAGCTTGGGGGCAAGGTTAGGCGGGCGGTAGGTCGACAGGGCGACAACAGATGCCTACCAGCGAGAGGACGCGAGGAGTACTTAGGTAGGTAGACTTTGGCTGCAGATTGCTATGGATTGGTGGCGTGGTGCGTGGGCAGTTGTTGGATGGAGATGTCTCTGCAGTCTGCTGTTTGCAAAAGAGGATTTGCACCGTAATTAGAACGCGGATGGCGTGGGCAGTTTTGAGAACCACGCAAGCCACGTACCTTTCGAGCTTCCCAAAATACTCCATACCGTTCGGGCTTTTCTACCAATTTTTACCAAGGGGTTGAAGAATTGCAGACTGAGGGAAGACACGTCATATGGATAGGCAGGTACAAATTACGGTAGCGCTCTTTCCTGCCTCAAGGGATTCGATTCTTCATGGAAAGGGCAGAGCACCGAGGAGGCCACGAGTACTGTACGTGTAAGTGTAAGGTAAGTGGGTAGGTAGGTACCTTGCGAAGTACAGCGGTAGGCGTGCATGCCTGCCGCCTGCCGCCTGCGTGCATAGAATTTTCGCAGGAAGCTTCGCCGCACATCCCTATTTTTACAGGTATGACGACATACCTTAGCATCTCTGGAGGCTTGACACGACCCTTTGTCAATTTTTCCACATCACCCCCCTCCCCCCTCCATCATCCGAGATATGAGAAAGAAAAAAAAAAAAACAAGCCTCAACTATCCGCATTCCAATAACTGGGTTTTCGCATATGTTTTCATTCTGCATGAGCATTGCGGTTGCTGCTCACTCACCACTCCTTTCCCGCGTTACCTCCGGTGGTCTGTGTCATCGCCCAACACCACCTCTTCGTTCTAGATTTATTCCATCCGTTGTCATTGATACTTCGGCCCGCTCTCGGTGTTGCCACGGTATCTCTAGGCTTTAGCCCCTCTAAACAGTGTTTGCTGATCATCTCGGGGAAGAGCTTGGTAGTATTTAATAGCTATCGGTTGACATGATGTCTTTCCAATCATGCGATACGGAGTTGATACATGAAAAACTTTGGAAAATCGAACCGAAAATCTCTCATCATGTCCTGATCCAAATGTCCTCCCCACGCACGAGCAAAAGTGCCAAAAGGCATGACGAAGGGGCAGAAAAAGCCCAAAGTGCAGAAAGTTGGTGACTCTTCATGAACATGGAGGCCCCAGCAACGGAATCGCCGTTAGACTGGGCCACAAGGACACTTGTGCCACGCAGCCTGACCACCGTCCACGCAACAAATCCGCATCTAATTCCCTCATGGCAATCAATCTACATTGCACGGTGCGTTCGTACGAGCACATGCCGTAAGACAATCTGGCTGTTTGCGAAAGAGCAAGAGAGCAAGAGGAGGGGCCGGCCCCATCCTTTTTGCGGAAGTAGAAGTTTGCCCTTCTCTTCGTCTACGTCCGTACTCGTTCGGATAGCGTTCAAGAAGTTCGTTGACGTTTTCTTTCATTTCAACGGCGCGGCATACATCCCTGCCGCGAAGCAGCGGGAGAAATGTTCTGGAAATTGGGCCGACGCAGTCCGACAAGGCCATCCACATCAACATGGAGGCTGGCACATGCATGGAAGCTTGGGAAATGCGTGGCAGGGGAGCAAGAAACCAGTAACAATAAGAAAACTTCTGCAGCGCTTCGCTTCCTCAACCCGAGTGTCAGGCTGTCAGCATCAGGTCAGCGCCAAATGTCAGCGATCGTGATCGACTTTTCCTTAGAGGTGGATAACTGGCTTCAATTCACGCTGCCAAGATTGGGTGGGCGGCTGTAAAGAGCACCTAGAAGGTAAGCCACTGATTAGCCGCATTCTGTGGCCCGTCAAGCTTCCTTAATTCGTCCCGTTGCCGCATACCACTTTTGGCATCGCAGTTAGGTAGTTCAGCTCGTTTCTAGGTGTGGCATGGCCAATGTGTCAAGTTTGTGTATACGGACGCCTTGAAAGCGTGACCGTCCGACGGTGGTAAGCCTCGTCGCAAACGGTCGGCAGAGCCTACACTATTGCCTTTGAAAACATAATGCAAGGACCCCGGATCTGCACGTGCACTCAACCAGGCCAGATTCGGATGCAGCTGACCTTTCAAATTGATCAGTTCAATCACATCACACTTCATTCTGGAGCCTCCGATAGACTGTGGTGAATGATGCGTGGTTAAAGTCTTGATAGTATTATCTGATCATCAGCCGACTGTAGGTCGCTTTGCTCATTATCCGTACTCAGCACTGGCCAAGAATAATCCGATATTCGAATGGCTGTATAAGAATTCCACGACACCAGATGCCATCGTCATTCTGAGACAGCATGATCGGCCTCCGGAGTCAGGCAAACCAACCAGACCAATCCATCTTGAATCAGGTGGAACCGAGCCATCGCCGGAGACGGAAGAATCGTGAGAAACGGTCTCAATGTTTGATTGTTCGAATGTCTGAGACCATGTCTTGGCGAGGGAAGCCAGTTGATAACCCCAACCTGGCAGGCCCTGAGCAACCTGGCAACCAACCACGTTCAAGGGGGCGAGGGGGATCAAGGGAGAAAGAAGAAAACCCGAATTCACTGGGCCTGTCACGATGTCTCCCTCTCATCCTTCCCCTCCTATGTATCTCGCATTGTCGCAATGGATCGGCCGCCACGCCTTTTACTCCTTTTCGCAACCGGAACGGCTGCAACTGCAACCCTCCCAGCGCGCGTTGCGTAAGGTAGCACGACACAACGGCCAACGACTCTCTCGTCAAATATCAGAGCCCCCAACCGGGCGTGCCGTACGGATGCCCGCAGAACCTCCCCTACATGAAGATTTTGGAAGGGTGGACAGGGCAACGGTTCCGAATGTATACATATCACAACGCACCCTGAATCACACGTGTGCTTCACTGGCACGCTGGGGAAACCCCTGGAAGCCAAGCAATGAGATTTCCGGGGGACAGGAATTAATTGGTTGTCTACTCCAGATTATCAAGCCACGCATGCCGTTAATCTCACGTCGAAACTGGCACGTTGAGACATTTGAAAGCCAAGTCGGGGCGGGCGGCCGGGCACCATAGCCCGCTCCGTGACATCTGGGTTGTATTAGTATCGCGAGTATCAAAGCATATACCTACCACACGAAGTCTGCACCCACAACACTCACTAGCTTATGTGCATATGTTCATGCCGGCTGCTCTTTCAAGGAATGGAACGGGGGCCAAACTTGCATTCTGCACTTGCGTTGATGAGAGTGTGGATGGCGGGTTACCTTAGGTGCTTCAAGCCCCAGATCGACACTATCAAGCCTTGCCACCAGCCACACATACCTATCCGTCAAAAGTTGCGTAACCTTGTTTGATTGCGACCAGCAACCGACAACTTGCACGCGCCATACGCCTCCGGGAACAAACCAGCTCTTCCTGCGCCATGTGCTCTTATTCCCGGGGCAGATGTACCTAGACTGAACCAGTGAAAGCTTCCCGCAATGTGACAGAGAAGTGTCGGCATCCCACATGATACATCTGTCTCTCCGTGTTTGTCAGTTTTATCCCCCTTAGTCTCTGTTTCCTCAATACTGCTTAGTGTTTCTCTTGTTCAACCCTCGATATCTTGGCTCGGTAGCCGCCGGACTTTATCGTAACCTTAACCCGTACGTAAACTTTCAAGGTAGCGTAGACGGATGTGCGAGCCCGAAGCATGGTGAAGCGGATGGGGCGCCGCGGGGTGGGAACGAGTCGGCTTGCGGCGGCAGAGGCGGACGGGGGGGGGCGGCCAAGGGTTGTGCTAAGCCGGACTGGTTGTCCCGTAGCCCACATGAACCGCACTCTACGTAGTCTTGGTAACGAATTCGTTCAACCTGCAGACAAAACGACGTGAGGGGCTCTCGCTCGTCTGATGATCCGGCGACAATGATTTCATTACCATCTCTTCTTCCAAGTCCAGACTTCCAGAGGGTAGTTAAGCGCTCTCGGGTTGATATCCGGCGGACGGGGGCGGAGAAGGAATATACCTTGCGCAACTTTCTAGAAGGTTTCCGTTGGAGGTGAGTATGAGGTCATACGAGGGGGGAATTAACAAGAAAACGTCTGTAGGAAGTTAGGACATTTGCTGAATGCATGTATGCCCCCATTTTACCTCACCGTCCTCACTCGCGTCCTGACCTTGCATCCGAATTATCTCAGTCGATGGGGCAAGCATGCAAGCACCTTTGTTCTCTCAATCAGAGCGGCATCGTCCAGCTCTCAATCGCCAATCACTCATCGCATCTCACTCATCCTTAGAGTGCCGCCACCCCGGTTGAGATGGCTGGCAATGAGTGAATGTGATGCATCTTACTTCTGCCCAATATCATCACATCCCCCAAGCCCCCGCCGCGATCTTCGTCGCCATCGCGGGCAGCATTTGCATGTTTGCGATTGTACCTTTAGGTGGTTGAGAATGAAATGCCAAATGCCACACTTTTTGCCAACTGCCGAACCGGCGCGTGTAAGAGTGTGTGTGCCGCCCGTCTCAGAATTTCCAAGTGTGGGAACGAACGACAACGGGGGGCTTGCTTGCATTGAATTTTCCCCGATTTCAATTTGGTGATCAATCGCAGACGATCTCGTTCAAAGGCAACCACTCAATCACTTCTTGCCCCCGCGACGTTGTATAAAAGAAGATAAACCTGACGATATATTGCATCGGTCGGCAGCGGGCGGCGTCGCAACGTCAAGCGGTAATTTCATTACAGGCATGAACATCACTATTATCCAGGCCTATCGGAGCCAGGCATGGCGGCCATCAAATTTGTACGGATAGGACGTGGTCTTCGTACGGATAGAGAGGGATTGGTTCACTGGGACTCGAATCGAATTTTAAAAATCAAGGGTGCGGGATGCAGAGACCCTTTTCGCCAGAAGCACACCCTTGCAGGAACTCTGCCGTTGCTCACCCCCCCTTACCTCCCCTTCTTCTGAAAGGCCCTTGAATGCCACTTTCTGCTTTCGGCCAGGCGGTGACCTACCCTGCTGGACGGGGTGCTGGACGAATTGTACATGGGGGCCGGGCGGGCTTGGAAGTCATTGGGGATGGAGCCTGGTTGGTTTAATCTTCCGGGGGTTCCTCAAAACGCGGCAGATCGGGTGTTTAGCTATGCAATATCCATCCGTAAAGATACTGAGGTTCTGGACGGACTGCAGTCTGCAGGAACTGCCTCTACCATCATGTCAGCAGTTCCAAGAGGAGTATGAGATTGTAATGAGAGAACGAGAGAGTCCATGACCAGTAGGCGCGGTGTACCGTACCCGTGCGTCTATTTGGCATTGTCTGAAGGAACAGGATGACGGCATATGTAAGACTGCGGCACATCGCGTCACCCACGTCTCATCCTTCTTTCTTCCCTCTCCCCCTCGTGGGTTCTTCCATTGCCGAACGGTAGGAGCCCACCACACAACTCCCCGTCTCCCCGTCAGTCAAACTGAAAGTGAGACGTGACGACGGTGCTGAGGGGGTCAGGCCCGTCTGAATGGCGCACCCGTACCATCATCGCATGGCGTTATGCCACAAGCGGAAAGTCCAATGCCGCATGCTACTAGCACGCATGTTGATCAGACATTCGAGCCAAAGCATGGCTATTCTGATTGCTGATCCGCCGCACCAGTCTTTGGACCACACAGTAGGTGTCTTCAATCTTGGGACGAGTGAAGAATTGGTGGTCGGTGGATGTTGATGTAATTAGACACCCGTACATTCTTCCCACGGTGAACAAGGCTTCCCAGCCAGCTTCGTCTAGTGTGTTGTTACACGGGTAACCATAATACCGTACGTTTTGTATGTGTACTGCGTACACGTAGTATGAGCTCCCCTAGATGCCTATCTAGATCTATCATCTGGGGAAGGTGGAACGAGAGAAAGCAACCGCCTAAAGAGATGATACAATAATTATCCGCATATTAATAACAAGGGACCTTGTTGACTTGGGCAAAGGCATTTAGTCATGACAATGCGTGGAGCAAATGGATGTGGGAGAAACGGTGCCAAGCACAAGATCGGCCGGGGAAAGAATATTTCCAGTGAGATGGGTCATGGAGAACTTAGAAGGAAACATTGGATACGGCATCCTGAAGATGGCCTCGGCCCGTCAAACCCAGTGTCATGATCCACAGCGGTACCGAAGCAGAGACTCGGCTGGTGTTGGCGCTGCTTCACCTCAACCATCGAGTATCCGTACATGAGCAGTCAGCCGCCGCTGGTCGGATGTTCTATTTCTCATGTTGGTGGGTCGAGCGTAGTGACGCAGTCGCGCAGATACTAGGTACCTAAAATGTGGTCGTGCGACAGATTGCGGGCAGGAGAAGGTCTGCTCACTACTGTGATTCGGGGCCTCGGGTCAGTCGACGGATGAGGATTCATGGAACTCTGAGAGAACACGGATTCGCTTTCCACTGCTCTGTCACCACCCATGCCCCATGGAACGTGAAAACTGCAAGGAGGTGCGAGCCGCGAGTGGCGCGGCGCGACGTGGCGGCGGCGGCAACGGTATTGGCAGCGCTCGCTCCCTTTCTCTCTCTTATTCCCAGTCTCACCTTTGCTCTGTAAGAGCTCTGTAAGCTCGCACGAGCGGCGAGCCAGGGACTTCCTGGCATTTGGCACTTTTTGCGGAGCCAGCTAGAGAGTCTGAGAGAGAGAATTACTGCGCGACTGCGACTGATTGAATCATGGCGGCCACCGAGGCTAAGTGGGAAGCGAAACGGACGGTGAGACGGAGAGATGGCCGAAATAGCAAGGGATCTATTGGAAATGGAAGGCGCCATAGCCCAAAGATGAGTTGTGAGCGCGAGAGAGCGAGGGCTTGAATAGGTACTGGGTGCACGGATGACCCCACACCGGTGCTCTATGTAAAGTAAGGTCCTGATAGTGTCAACTTGGTGAGAATGAAACTGTCTTACACTTGCAAGAGCCTGTACCTACCTGCACCCCATCCATTGAGGCTGCGGAGGAGCAAGTATGAAGTTTGAGGGTTGCTAACATCCAAAAAAAAGTAGGTATCCTTGGAGTAGCTTTTGTTCAGAGCAGATCCTATGTAAAGAGGCCATGTGCGGATACTATGCTACTAGTTGATAGTACAAACGGAGCTCTGTCTCGCACGATGTTGACGGAGATATGAGATGGCAACAAATGTCTTGTCCAGTCATTCTGGTGGAATCCGTGACATCAAATTACGCCATTGGCATGTGTCGTACGGACCGCGTCGAGGGCTCCCATCAAAAGTGTCAGACAGTCAGACAGTCAGACCGGCGCCAGCGCCAGCGCCCAACGTCTATCGAAAGCAAATGGACTGATGGAGCGACCAGCGGATGAAATGGGGTACAAGATGGGACGGAGGAAGGGGTCAACTGTGGATGGGCAACAAGCGCGTCGAGTGATTGGATGTTGATGGGATGAAACGGGGGAAACGGCCATGGGGCCAAGCAGGTGAAAAGGAAAGCCGGCACCACGATCACGATGACGGTGACGGGTCTGGTCTGCTTCATTTCTTCCGCAAGGCCAATGGAGTCGATGGACCGTGGACGAGGGGATAAGCGCGAAATGGCGAGATGACCAGGGGCCACTCGGGAGACCTACATAGTACATACAGGACTGAGATTACGGAGTATGGTTGAGGGATAGGCGAAGCCGACGTAACCCCCAATTCTTGGCTCCGTGCTCCGTAGAAAACGGGCAATGGAACCAAAATTATGAAGCCGAACGGCCAGGTCTTGGTGGTCCAGGCCCAGAGAGCAAACGCAAAATGGCCGAGACTACCGTTGAGAGAATTTGTTGCAAAGAAGAGATACGGGTTTCCCGTACGAATACTCCATACGCTTTGCGTGAAATACCATGTGCTGCGACAAAAAATAAAATAAAAAAAATAGATGGAAAACTGTAAAGCGGTAGAAGTCACGACGGGGAACAAGAGAAGAAGGGAAAAAAAGACCTAGCCTAGACCACCGTAATCCCGCGACCCGCTCCTTTCGATCCCTCACTCTCATCCCGTTCGGTCAGGGCCAGCCCAGTCTACACTATTGCCTATCAGCTCCTCTCTGGGCAGGTGAAATACTAGGTAGGTAGGCACTCCGTAGGCACGAGCAGTATGTACCTTTATTCGCTTAGCTAAGGATGATCCCTGTTGCCTTCCCTTGATCGAATTGTTCCATATGCCTTCCATTAGGGTGTCTGTTGTCTTCCACCGACTTTCCCTAAACGAGCACAATCGGCCCATGCAGCGCCATCATTGGATCACTCGGACCCTCTTTCGAAGCCTTCTAGCGCAGTCTAGTGCTGAGAGGCTCCACTCACACCAATCTAGCTGGACTCAGTTGATCACGGCTTGTCCCACCCCTTTTCCTTCACCACGGCTGTCTCCCAACTCCCCTCCCTTCCGTCACCTTTCCATCCCGTCTTCCATCCGTCTTCCATTTCGTCTTCCCGCCTTTCTTCTGCCGCTGTTGTGCATCAATCCTGTCAGGTCAAGGTCACTTTCTAATTGTTGCTCAGACTGTGACCTTCCCACCCCTTCTTGATTGCTAAGCCGGCCTTCCGTGCCCTCCAGCTGAATCTCTTAACAACAATAACCACAACAAGAAGAACAGAAAGAAAACGGAGGAGAAAGGGGGAACCGGGGGGGGGGGGGGGGCTAAGACCACTGTGACCATAATACCGAACCCCCCTTTACGACAGTACGACTCCATAGAAGGACGGGGCAAAGAAGACCACTCAAGTTCCTTAACCCATCGTCTCTCGGCTACGATAGGATGCTCTGGGTCTTCTGGCCTGCCTCGACTCCAGTCTCGGGAGGGTACTCGGCTTCCTTAGCAAGCCGAAAGTCCCGTCTGGCGGGCTGAGGTTCCATTAGGAGTGTTGGACTCTCTACAGATACTCTAGGTATTACTAGAGAGCTTTGAGGGTCTTCACACGCAACCACGTTACCGCAGGCTACAGCCCAACCGCAGCAAATACTCCCCGCCTCTGTGCCACCGTGTCGTCGCAAGAGCAACGCGTCACTTCCAGGCTGTTAGTCACCGCACGCCTCCACCGGTACCCGCCCGCGGTGCTGGTGACTTGGTGTAGCTTCAGCGTGTCTTTGTGTAGCTGTGTCTGTAAAATATCCAAACCTCTCTGGCCGTGTCACGATCGTGTAGGTATCGCGTGAACATTGAAGCTTGTTCACTGTTTGCTATTGGAGAATGGCCTACGCAGTAGAAGCGGCATGGAAGTATAGAAGCAACGCAATGCGCATATTCCATCGCTTGGCTTCCATTGGTCACCGGTTGTCTTCTGGCCTTCTCTTTCTGGGCAATGATGTACCTCCTATCGTTAGATGCCTCGTCTTGTCTCCTTTGCCCAATGAACCCTGCAAGCACACAGCGTACGGAGTACAGGGTTGGTCGGTGCTTCTTTTTTTTTCTTCCCTTCGGGCGGTGATACCCGATTGAATGGCCTTGATCAAGTACTACTTCTGCGCACTTTCGCTGTCTCCGATACCTTGTTCGTGGTCTTTTGCTGCGTACCACCCATAGCGCAATGAGACTTGTTCTCACATCCTGGCAAACTCCCCTCTCGCTGACAGGCCTCCCCTGCTTCAGAGCCCGCACACATCCTGGGGCCTTTGCCCCGTCCAGCGCCTCGTCCGGGTCTCCCTTCAACAGGCAAGAGCGATTGTGTGGACTGGGACCCTCCTGGTACTGGTCTGGTGGATGGGGTAATGGCCCTGGGGCCCGGGCAGCCTGGTGATGGAAGGATGGATCTGATTTGAGGTGCGCAGACGCTCCCCCTTCTTCTCGCTGAGGGGTGGCTCAGTGGATACTGAGGACCTTGGGAATGAAGGTACTGCTACCCGCGGACACGCCTCGTTGGGTTACGTTTGGTAGGAGCATTGCGGTCCAAGTACGTCCGGATACTGCCCTCAACCCATGACTTTTGGTACTTGAGGCACATGGCCCTCGGCGCGCTAATCCAGTGCGGAGCATTCCCTCTTGCGGGCCTCGTACCTACCTAACCTGACCTTACTCTACCATTCCTTGCCTCGCCTCCTCGCCTACCATAGGCATGATACGGTACGGCCGCCGCCCAAAAGATACTTGCCCCATGTACTTGTTCTGACTGGATGGATACCGGACGCTTTTAGCTATCTCATGTCCTCTCCTCCTACCCATCCCCATCAATCCTACCGTTAATGCTTCACCTTCCCTCTCCTTCTCAAACACTCCCGATTCTCACAAGACAGACATTCTCACTAGTTCCATTTTCCTTCTTCGCCTACTTCCTACTTCTTCCACTCTCTCAAGATCCACTGCGAATCCTTTCCTCGACACCACCCGTCACATTCGCCTGATATCCCCTCCAAATCAAAGAGAGACTCATATCGCTGCACGACATCAATCGCCTGCCGCCGTACGAACATCGTCGCCGACTTCATTCCTCGTGCCCACCACACAACACAATACAACCACTATTCCGACACGGGTCACCAACTCGCTACCACGTTCTCTCATAGCTAGTTTCCTTGTCCTACCAAATACCTACCTACCACCTTCGAGAGACCTTCCACAGTAGCGACGAATTCGACCACCAAACCACGCCTCATACCGTTTATTTCCTTCGATCAGCATTCCCCTCCCGAATTCGACGCTGTGAAGACGTCACGTCGCCAGTCTCCGAAGCCACGAGCCAAAGGAACCCGTTTGTACCGCATCGTACACTCGACCGTATTGGATAACCGTCGAACGTGTGGCTTGACTGCATTCCGCATACATCTCTCAGAACACACTACCACTGGTCTACCTTGGGGCTTCGCTGCACTCTTACTGTTAATTGACTGTCGTCTGCGACATTCTGCAAGCAGCATCTTGCACACTCATTGCCGATTGCGACGAGTCAATTCCATTCCCGTCACCAAGACACTTCTAGCGTCTCCAATCTTGTCTTAGTGCAAGCCTCCTCCCAAAGCCCGCCTGAACATAGCGCCCTTATCTACAACGCTCTGGGCTATATACCACCCGTGGGCCCCGTCCTTTTCAGCACAACAGCTCTCTACGATCTAAGCTGTGCTCGCTCTTTTCGACTCAACACCACGACAACAAGCATTTTACACCGCGTCGATAACCTTGAGTCCATGAACGATTAGCGCTACTCAACTTGCTGTATCCACTTGTGCGACAAAAAGTAGGATTCGGTCACTTCATCGAGACTATCCGCCGAGGAAATCGTTCCGTGGAAGACGACCCGAATTCGTTTCAACCGAAGGAAGACTGCACTCACTGTAGTTTCTCACGACAACCAACGCCTTCTATGGGGTCATCGATTCAATTCTAGGCACCCAAGACTGCCCTGCAACACCAGTCTGCTGCTGTCATTTTGATCAGCGACTTTTGGCAACTCCAATCTTTTCTGCACAACAACTTGGCGTGGAAATGAAAAGGTCCAGGATAAGAAAGCACTCCCCCATCTACCTGAGTCCTTCACCTTCACCCGAGAGGGAATTGTCACCACCCAGTCCGGCTTCAGCTGTCCTGGACTGGGAATACACCACGATCATGTCGAGGTCGAGACCCACCAGCGGGGCCTTGATGCCCGGCGCCGTCATCCTAACACCACCCACTCTCTCGGAGATCCTCTCGAACACCTCTACACCGCCATGGACACTAGCAGCATTTATGGCATACCTCTCTCAAAACCATTGTCTGGAGACCCTGGAATTTACTATGGACGCCGACAGATATCGTAAGGCGTACGAGCAGATCATCACCAACCAGGAATGGATCGGCGATGGTAAAGAGCATGTCTGCTCACTGTGGGAGAAGCTCATGCAAGCATACATCATTCCATACGCGCCGCGCGAGGTTAATCTTCCTTCACCTGTGCGGAATCATCTTACGAATCTGGACTGCTCCTCTGCCCCACCTCCTCCAAGTGAACTCGACGACGCCGTCAGAATTGTCTACGAGCTTATGAACGATTCTGTACTTGTTCCCTTCATCGAGTCGGTCCAACCGGGCCATGGCGATTGCCGTATGGCGGAGGACGAAGGCCGACCTGGCCGCCTGCGCCTTCGGGCCGAGGGTGCTGGGGCTAGGTCAGAAGAGCCCGTGAAGTCTCCTAAATTCCTACCCCAGCTGACTTTGGGTCGCAGTGGTGCCACAAGTCGATCGGCTTCTGCGTCTGGCGAACAAGCTGAACGCGAGGGATTGACAGATGATAGTGGAAGCGCTGTTTCTCCTGGCACAGAGCCAATGACTCCTCCCACTACTCCGCCAACTTCAGACTGGACATTCAGCACCTCCCCAGGTGGACTTCAGCGGGCATTGACCGCACACAACAACGGGTGGAAGAAGGTTGGCGCCAAGCTGGGTCTCCATCGCAAGTCACGCTCTAACCGACGAAACAACCCGACATCATTGGCCCCAATCACTGATGGGGACGTCACCATGGCTGAAGCCAGCCAGAGCAACCCTTTATAGGAACCAGAGGTCATGCCATCAACTACATCCACCACACCAGCGACATCATCTTCTCACCTCCCTCTGGACGGCTTCTCACGTGTCCGTCACCTTTTCAACCCGTGGGAGGAGCCTCATCCAGGCAAACGACTACCTCTCGCGGCGTCAGAGGCCGGCAGTGAAATTAAGAAGGTTGCTTTTGCTGGTCCACAACACATCAATAATGGTGGATGCAAAGGTGGCATGGCCGCAAAGGAATTTAGCGCTTACCACAATCCACGGCCCTGGATGGTACGACGCCCTATTCGAGTTCGGTCGCGAACCAACACTCCCGCTCCCTTGAGGATCACCACGGAGATATCCGAAGACGCCAAGTTGAAGCCGATTTCTGTTCACAAGATGGGAATTATCTCCCCTGCGGCACCCACTCCGGCCATACCTCCTGCTGTGCCAGAAGATTCTGGCGAACCGACAGGCAGAGGTGTTTGCGACGAGTTCACTGCCAAGGAAGTCGATGCAAGCCAGCTGCCTCTTCCCGCATCTCCGCCAATCGATTGTCGATTTACGGACTTTTCGAACTTGCTGGGCATCAACGTCCATCCTCCACCAGAGGATGAGGCTGTTGCAATGGCTAACGACGAGCCTGCATCGTATTGCCATGCCGCACCCGACGAGGATCTCTATGGATGGGATGCTGAGCTTGAGCGGCAAAGCCAGCAAAGCAGCCCGATTTTACCGTACGCATGCGATGATGATTACCAATACCGACGGACGAGCATGACGAAGCGTAGCCTCTTGCACCGAGTCTTCAGCATGGGAGGTTCACCCAAAGATATCAACATAGAAGTGCGCAGAGCTAGCAGCACCTCCAGCTAGCCTGTCACTTCCCTTCTTCAATTTCGTGTTTCTTGTTTTTTTTTTCCGTTTTTTTTTTTTTTTAAGTGCTTGAAGCAAAGCCATGATACCAATTTTCTCTACACCCTTCTCGGCGTTTGCCCAACATTCCCACTTCGACTTTGTATTCTGGCATCACATTACAAATCTACCTGGCAGGAGAACATTATCCAACATGCATTATTGGGGAAGCAAAGGAGGAACGATAGACATAGGTTCAGGACATTTTGAAGTGGAGTTTTTGTGGCATTTATATTGCTCGGCTTGGAAAATCTCATGATGCATTGCGAGGAGCTTTGGCGGGCAGCGGTTGATTTTGTTATGGTCAATCTTTTTTTTGGTTTGTTCATTTTCATCACAAGGCAAAATAGGGAAGCAAAAAGCATTGGTTGCGCAGGGCTCCAAAAGATGTGGTGGAAACTCACTGGGAGCATGCTGGCATAGGCATTTAGGATGACTGAGATGAGGCGATGACTGTATTTGTTAGATGTGTAATAACATCATGAACCAACAATCCTTTGCCTTGGCTTTGTGTGATTTTGTGAGGAGGCCTTGATCTCGTCTGGCTTTTTGCATGAAGACTGTTTGAACAACACGCATCTCCTTGTCGGCTGGCACGGACAAAACACATGGGCCTCCTATGGGTAAATTACATCTGTTTCCACTGTGCTGCATGGAAGGCCTACTTCCGGCGCAGTCTGAGTGAATCCTTTCTTTACGGCGTGTCAGGAACTCAACCTCTTGTCCCAAAAACATCTCGAAAACAAGCAGTTCTCTACGCCGATCTGGCTGCCATTGTGCCCATACTATTTGGCTTCAGACAATTTGGTAAGGAACAATGACTGCTGAGGGAAGTGTGTCAGCCAGGCTCACTCGGCCATGGCCACCCCCTTTCATCATTGTCAATCACAAATGCGGCGCCTCAGACTTGGTGGTGTGGCTTTGCTAGAGACTCACTGCTCACTTTGGGCCAACTGAAAGATTGGCTTAGGCCTATGGCTCTGGAAGATGATTACAGCTGTTGAGGAATCGAGAGAGATGATTGGCATCACCACGGTATCTCATGGAATGATGGAAGGTCTCCAGAAGTCCAGGATCGGCCAAAGTCTAACAAGCACATTCCAGAGTCTGCGACCCTCACTGGCTGGGACGATCTGAAGAGTCTCACAATGTCTCATGTCTATTATGTTTGAGCAGTCGCTTCAGCTAACGTACTTAAACTGCAAACTCCGTCCTGTATAGCTCATCGCAGAACACCCTCTTCTCTCTGCGGTGTTGGTCAATCTTTCTTCGCCCAAGTAGCCTGGTTGTCCCGTGAGGTATCTACTGCCGATATGGACTACCTATGAATGCAAGCGCTGTTGTCTGATAGAGGGACCCAGAGTGGCTATTCAACGAGCTTCTACTCCCGTCGCCTCGCCTTTCATTGGTCTTCCAAATTCTGTACCTCGTCCTGTCTATGCTGGGAAGGTGCCACTAGACTCCGCATGCTCATTCCTTGTTCGCTTGTTTCTTCCGAGTCCACCGTGACGCCGAGTTGTCGGATGGCTTCGGGAGGAATCCCTCTAGCGGTGATGTTTGCTCTCTCACCTTGTCGAGGTGATCTTGAGGACGGACTTGACATACTCGGCAGAAATGGTGGCTGCAGCCGGCCATGCTGCTGAGCTTCGGTCGAGTCACCTGGAGCATGCGACTGCCATGTGTTCGCTGCATCGTTATTGTGGAGTGTGATTTGTCGCAAAGTCTGTCTCGTTGATAGGTCGTCATGTCGGGAGATGACAGCAGCTGCCCGTGTTGACAGTGTTTCTGGTGACAAATGTGCAATACGTCTTGGTTCACCATGTCGCATGCCCCTTGGCAGCCGAATGACCTGTCAAGTGGTCAGTGCCAGCGTAACCGCTGGGTGATGCTGATCCCAGGAGCAACAACATACATTTCCAGGGTGGTTCGTTGCTGTTGTCACTCTTGCTGTCGCGGAGAATGGTAGAGGAAGTGGTAGCCTCGGGGTGTTTAGGCCCGGTAACCGATCCTCGTAGGCATCCTCCATCGACTCGCTTCTGTCTTCTTCTCTCTCATCTTCGCTCTCACTAGGGGACGTGTTTATCTTTTCGCTGTCATCAACAACGGTTTCACCATCGTCATCGTCATCGCGATGGTCAAAGGCGGTTGGACTATCATATATCTCGATCCTCTCTTGGTCGGGTAGAATACTGTCTGGCACGAAACGGAGTCGCAGCGAGTCATGTAGTGGGCCACTCGTAGGTGCCTGTCGACTCGAATGGGCATCGTTACCTCGACCGCCGCGGTCCTGTGCCTTGCGCTGACGTTCGTATTGCTTGACCTCCGAGAGAGTTATGCGAATGACGGTAGGATCCAGACGCAACATTGTTGATCTTCAAGTGGAGTCGTGATTGACGCTTGTGTAGCCTGATAGACTTTCTGAAATTCACTTGGAAGAGTGCATTATTTCAATTCAGCGCGATGTATGTCTCCTCCATTGGAAATAGCCCAGCTCGCAGCAGCATGAAGACGAATACAGTCCTCTCATCCTGACCCAGCAGGTTGGAGGGAAGGCATCGCCCATAGACTGCAGGAAACTGCCAAGTCCTCACCGAGGTACAAGTACATTGCGAATAGCCATCGCGAGAAAGAGGTCACTCGGCATCCGGCTGGCAGGAATCATCTCTGGCGAGGCATGGGACGAAGCTGTCGTTCACGAGATCAGCCTACTAACTACAATGGCTGGCTCTAATGAGTCTTAACGCGTTCAACTGCCAGGTGCACTCGCCCGTCCCCATCTACTTCGACATACGACCACATACAACGAGAATACTTGCGTCTAAGCTGTAGAGATCAACGGTCAACTGGATGAAATGCAGACGGTAGACGCCCGTGACTTTGTGCCCGACTAATGACCTACTGGTAGTCAAGGAAGCAGTCTCACTTTTTAACTATCGAGGCCATGGGGAAGCGAATATTCGGAAAACGGGGGCCAAACATGTACCTAGCGTGGGTAGTTGCAAAGTCCCTGGATCTATCGTAGCGAGGCGCGCAATGCGACGATGGGCTGCAGCTGTAGCAACTGCGGGCAAGCGTGCGTCCCAGCCAGCCCTGATTCGGCATGGACGCGTTGGGGACAAGGTACAAGTTTGCCTCGCGTGCCTCGTTTGCTGTTACAAAGGAGACTGACTGATACTAACTCTATGGGGAGAACTGGGCTGATGGGTGGAGACCAGAGTACCGAAATTTGCTCGCGTTCTCCAGGCACTACGGAAGTCTCTTCTCAGATGAACTAAGAAGGTGCGCCCGTGCTCAAGATGATCTGTGATATGCCCAAACTCACTTGCCATCCTGAAGCTGTGCTTTCCCTCCTTGGCTCGACGGGTACGTACCGACTTCGTACAGACTGCACTTTGAAAGCTGAGCGTCTCTCCGCAGCGCAACGACACTTCCTGAGGTGAGACCGGGGTACCGGGGGTAGGACGGCTCGCAAATGGAAGGCGGCGTTCCCTTGTCTACCACGCATCCAACCCTCCAGGTCCAAACCTTTTCGTCGGCCCTTTCCTGCCTCTTACCCGTTGCTCGCGTTTTCCTTCCGTCTCTCAATTGACCTTGTAGGATACAAAAGGATAGCTCCTTCTTCTCTCGCCCACCTCTTACTGGCGGCGCCTTCCCTCCCTCTTCCTTACCAAAGTTCATCCACTCTCCTGCCGCAGCTCGTCTAGTCTCTGTCTCTGGGACAACCTCAACTTCCTTCCTGCTACACATACCAACCTGAACTCTTACATGTCTGCTTCCTGCCATCTCGTCAGACGCCTTCACACTCTTCCATTAACTGCTCAGTCTCCCATTTGGTCCTGAACAGCTTCTTCCTTCTTTCAACCAACCTGCCCCAACCCACCATCACTCGGGTCTAGCCATCTCGACCTACCAATCACCATCTACTATTCATCACCACCCAGTCGTCGCCATCTTGTTCACCTTTACAACCGCCTCGCCAAACGACTGGCCTCAAACTCTACCAGACAACACGTCCATCTAGCCACTGGACTTCGCGACCAACGTCTTGCTCAACTACTAACACATCGTGATTCGTAAAAGAGTTACTTGAATCTGAAGTCTGAACTTACCTTGCGCAGGTCTAACAATACAGCCATGTCTCCTTTCGGTCACTCCTTCTCCGCTGGCTCCCCCGTCATGGCTCTTCCTCCTCAGCCCGCCCATCAAGCGAGCTTCGGCATGGAATCTTTCTCTCCCCAAGCCACACCCTTTGGCCAGCCCACCGCCTTCAAACGCTGCCCTGCACCGCCGGCAATGCCCGCCGGAAGCCTTCGAGTCGCTGGTCGCAAACGTTCGCGCGACGAGGCTGCCCCCAACCTGGTTACCGACGAGCCTGAGCCTCACACCGCACCCAAAGAACCCGAAGAAGAGTGGGAGTACGGCCCTGGTATGGTTCTCATAAAGAAGGGGAGCTACGTCGCGGATGCTGGCAGTCAATCTGGCACCTGGGTCGAAGAGAAGGCTGCGCAAGATGACGCTCGCAAAACACAAGAGGCCATCACACGTCTCCACGAGCAGCAAGAACGTCCATCTCTACGCAGCAACAAATCCCAACGCCTTACCCAGGCCGTCATGCCAAATCTCCATGCGGCCCAGCCAGCTATGGCATCCACATCCACAACTCTTTCATCGGAGAGCTCTGCGCAACCAATCGTCGACCAATTCACCCTTCACCTCGGCATTGGCTGGAGACGCATCAGCGAAGACCAACACATCCAAGCCGCGGCACGCGGCTGGGCCCGATTCATTGAGAACCACTACCCTGTGTCCAACGCCATCATCCGGCTGGAGAGCAAGGGCCTACAATCGTACCTCGTCGAAGCTGCGGAAGGTTTCTTCCTCTTCGCAGAGAACCTCCGTCAAGGCCGCTTTGTTAGCAGAGACGTCGAGGGCGCTATGCGAAATCTCCAGTGTTCGCCTCCCACATTCGATGGTCAAGAGACATTGCTTGCGACCGAGTCTCCCGCAGCAGTAGAACCAGCCAACATGATGGAGGCTGACAGCAATATGGTCATGTAAAGCGTCCACACGACAAACAACGGCTCGTTCGGCTCTATATCATTTTCTTTGGAATATCATTACAAAACGGCAAGGTCTGGGGAGGCGCAATGGTTTTTTTTTCTCAAGAGGTTCGCTTGGTTGGGTCGGGTTGGATGGGTTGAGTACCTGACTGAGGGAGGATACATCATATCATCACGGCAAGCAAACGAAGGCCGGTCAGCGGAGAAAAGGAATTCTTAGTCTGGGCACATCATCAACTATCGAAACCTGTCTTGACAGACTAGTCTGGTCTCTTTCTGCTTATTTCGCGTTTAGCTACCGCATTGGAGAGGCCGATATGCGATATCAGCAAGCTTCAAATTTCTCAAAAGAAATATAACTAAATTCAAACAAAAAAGTGGTATTTACTCGCAAACCCAACGTTTTGAATCCATCTTCCTCGCTCAAAGCACATTTTGCTTGGTGTTGGGCGGTTTAAGCATGGCCTTCACGCTACAGTATCAAGGTCGACTAAGCTGAGGTACGGGGTAATTTTTCTCGGAACGCGGTTTGCTGCGTTGCCGAGGCGTCCAAGACCGTTTGCAAGACAAGAAAACCTTGATAGCGCTCAATGGCCGATGCAAACCCGAGTCAAGAGTCTTGGAGTGAGTGGCCTTGGATAAGACGAGACAAAGTGGACGGGCCTGCTAACCTACCTTAGTCTGCGATGATACGACGGACAGGTATGTGGGTGTAAGTGCCAAATCCGTCGTCTTGTGTGACAGGACGGACAGTCAGCGCCGGTGGAGCCCAGTGCGAGCGAAGCAAAGCGATGTTGGCTGTCTATCTGTCGGCTGGGGCACGAGACTCAGCTTGCTACATTATGAGGGACGGAGGGACGGAGGGGAGCATCGACCTCCGCCCCCAGGTGAGTGAGTGAGACCGTGAACGGTGAGGTGAGACCTTGGGCACATTGCACTGGCATAGGTACTCAGAAAGGGGGCCACGACTCACGAGTCCAACGAGGGTCACGGGTGGAAGAGCGGCAAGTTCCAGCAGCTTGCAGGGTGCGCCAGAACAGAAATGGGGTCGGCAGAGTGATCAGTGAAGCACACCTCAGGATTCGAGGAGTTGAGTGGTGGCCGCTTACTGGTTGAATCGGCTGATGGTGGGAACCATTGGATGCCCGGGGAACCTCCAGCAGCAGCTAGGTACCTTGTCTCTCGCTCGCTCGCGCGCCCGTCAAGCTACTGCTTTCTGCCTCCGAAGTTCCATTGTGACACTGTGAGGGCCGCACGGAGGTTTGCGAGGAGCGGGCAACGGGGCAGCACAGATTGAAGTCGTTCCATTGGCCACAGGGTTTGACTTCTCATTGGTGTCTCGAGGACAGAAAGATGGAGCAATTCTTGCTGTGGACCAGTGGAGCATTGAGCACGAATCTGGCCAATGAAATGGCTGATGCGAGTGGGCGGAAGTAGGAGATGACGGAATACTTTGATCGACATGCAAGCTCGACTGTGGTTCGGGGTACCCGGCTATTGCCAAGATTGTGACCAATCACGAACCCTTCACTCTGGGCTCCAGACGAGCCGCCAAAATCCGGAGGCTGGCTGGCTGGACCGGGATTGGAAGGAAGGAAGGATGAACAGTTCAGGAATGGAGTCCAGCAAGATTACTGCTCTCTGTATCTCACGTGATGAGGATGTTCCGATTGATTTGAGATCGGACCTCTTTTCCCCACACCTAGTCACTTTCTGGCTTTCTTCCACCTGACCTTCCATTGGCCGAGGACGTTTTGCAGGCTGTTGCGAGCCTGCCACTGTGAGCAAGCAAGAGGGAGAAATGTCGTGACCTGGCAGCCGCAGGGTGGCCAAGGTGAGGTGCATGTGGGAAAAGCACGGGAGGTGGCCCCCGTCTGCCAGTCCCAGTGTGCGAGTCTACGAAGTCTGCCTTGCCAGCATGCACGATGATGCCCCCTGCATCTCCTCGCCTCATGAGGGTATTCAAGCAACCTATGGTTGGGCGACGATGAAAGGAGGCGAGTGGCCTGCACCCACTATCGGCAAGCGCAAGCTCGGAGGGAGGCCCCGGAGGCAACTTTTAATTCATCGTCGTCCTATGGAGGCAGGCACACAGCTGGGATAGCTGGGAAGGCCTGGGAAAGATTCCTTCTTCCCTTTCCTTTACAAGTATCAAGGCGGATTGTCGCTCCCCGCTCATTGGTAGTTTGACAGTTGACTCAACCTTTACCCGTCAACTGCCACCCATCATCCCGACTTTACTTGCCTTCCTTACCTTACCTACAGGCTACATACAGTAAGGTAATGAATGTACTCTGCGGTTTGGTTGGGTGGTAGGTTAAAACTCATGTGTACCTCGGAACCTCTTTGCCTCAATGAAATGATATCCTGAGCGCTTCCAGGTTCGTCTCCCACTTCCAGGTCGACCCAGAGCAGCCTGTCCCATTGCGCCTGTCTTCGCCATCTCATTGGCAACTGCACAACGCAGAGCTTGCTCACCCTGTCCCTGTCCCACTTCTCGTCGCCGGCGCCGTCGCAATATCCTGGTTCACGCTTCACTCTTTGGCTCTACGCGTCCACACGTCTACTGCGTACGGATACAGCTGTTTTCAGTCTCTGGCTCTGGACCGACCCTCGTTGGGCCTGTGCTGGTGCTGGCTCTTCTCCCATCTTTGACATCTTCTGTTCGGCCTTCAGTCTTGTCGCCAGCAGTCGCATCACGAGGTGCTCGCTACCTTATCGGTACCAAATAGCGTCAAGGCCCCTCCCCCCGAGTCACCAGGGTCTCAGGCTCTTGCCTGCTCGTCTTGCCTCTTGATTTCTCCATCTCGGTCTTCCCCGTGCTGATTACCTCACCGGCCACCCCAAGACCCCATTCGACCAGCAACAAATCACTACATCTATTCGTACAGCTTGACTAGACTCGCGTCTCTCCTCTGTTCTCTTCGCCTCCGCGTAGATATTCTTGGCATCGCCTTCACCTTGCTCCATCACCACACTGCTTTTCTAGCTCCCGCCATTAGAGCTATTTCACTTTGTCACCGGCGCACGCACGCTCGCACACTCCTCTCCCGCGCATCGCGACACGAACAAACCCAGCCGCCCATCCGCTCCCCGCCTCTTCACCTTTTCTTGGTGCAAGCAGTCTCGTAGCTCTTAGCTTAGGAGCTCCATTGTTCTCAGCGCCTCGGCTCGATTCTGTCTCACTCCCGCACGCCTTCGTCAGTGTTGCTCTTGTGCGCCCATCAACGCAGAGTCGCCGCCCAAAACCTTCAAGCCCGTCAACAAGCTTCCCCGTCACACAGAAGTGGTCAACTTTTGGTTCATCTTTTCAGTCGAGGACTCTCCGCCACTTGTGCGCGCTTCTTGCGCGCCCGTTGTGTCGCATCCTCGTTTCCTGCTCGTCCACCTACAGGGACCCCCAGTGCGCGCGTTCCTCCATGTCCGAGCCGCCGTAGGCCGTCAGTCCCTCCTCCGACCTTCGCAGCTTCGGTCTCGATAGAGTCGATACGCCTTCTTCATGGTCTCGCAGCCCGATTCCGCGTCCTCCCTCACCCTGCGAGGCCCCTCCTCGGTCGTTTCGCGTCCTTCACTATCTCGCACGAAGCGATACAACAGGTCTCATGTCGGCGGTTCATCCTATGTCTCTCAGAATGAGTTTCCCGTCTTCAACAATTCGGGCGATGTCGAGATTCTAGTCAAGGCCGGTGGTCACCAAAACCGTTATTTGCTGCATCGTCATACCCTCACGCAATGCTCCGGCTTCTTCGAGGCCAGCACTAGTCTTGAGTGGTCCAAAGCAGTTTCGGATGGCGCCTCGAATGACTTGCCTCGTATTAGCGACGGCTCCTCAGCCGACTCTTACAACCCTCTGCCTTCCAGCAGGGCCTTGACTACTTCATCTTTACCACCAAGAAAACGTTGGCGCTATGAATTGGATCCAGGCACGGGGGATGGCGATATACCAATGTTGGTACAGAAGGATGAAGACCGCTCAAAGGGTTTGAGCGCGGGCAACTCTGGGTCTCTGTTTGGCTCTGGTGGCAGCGCGGTCAACGGCGACCAGCCCGTGTCGTATTCGCGAAGCAAGACATCGGGCCATTCCCACTCCTCGTCGGCGCACTCGAACCACAACTTCTTCCGCTCCGTCGCCAACCTGAGCCTCGTGCCGAGCTCGACGACGACGGCAACAAGCCAGCCGCTTTCACAGGCCGACCAAGATCTCCTCCGCGATTATGACAACCTCTTCCGCATCTTCTACAACCATTCCCCGATTCTCGACGGTGTCAATATTGCGGATGCTTACGTTCAATGCAAATCTCTCATCACCTTGGCGGACCTATATGATGCATTGGCCGTGGTTGGCCCCAGGGTTGACCACCATCTGCTTCAATTTCAGTCACGACTATGGAAGCAGATTGCCAAGTATCCCATCTCATACCTACGTCTTGGCTACCTTGCCCGCAGTAGAGTCATCTTTCAGGAGGCCTTGATTCATGTGGTCGGGCAATGGCCGGCAGGAGAACGTAGCCTTCGTGCTGCGCTCCCTGACATCGTTCTAGACATAATCGAAGACAAAGTCGACGAGCTAGAAGAGGTGGTCAGCCGTGTCGAGGGTCGTCTCTTCCGACTGAGCTTGATGACGGCGAGGGGCGAGCGTGTCACACCTCAGAATAACTATCTCGACTGGCTAGCCGTAAGCCTGTTTCGACAATGGCTGGCAGACAACACCAGTCCTCCGCCCCCAGACCGTCGACTCCAAAGCTCTCGCGACGGTCGGACTGGAAACAATCAGCAACTGGCCCTCCCTGCTGCTGTTCCGCCGTTGGCCACGGTCGGCCGCACCTATCGTACTCTTGGCGCCTCCTCAGCGGCTTACCTGGGTCACGATGAGTGCAAGCGGTTCTTAAAATTGACGCCTGAGCTATATAGCCGGGACAATCTCCGACGCTTTGAGAAGCGCATCGACGAGCTGAAGCTGATGGCTCGCGACATTGTCCGGCCTTTGATGGGCAGTGGTTTAGAGCTGGATATCAACAGCGGAAGGGCCGCTGACGGAATTGGCTACCTCACGTGCATAACCGTCGGGGATCGTGACCTTCCTTGGCACGGTGAGCATTGATACGAAACAATGGACTCAAATGACCGGCCAATTTACAGCTGCAAAACGAGATGAAGAAGCATACTGGTTATTCTTCCGACTAATGATGAATGAATTTACTGGCGGATTTTGGATCTTATTTTTGGGATTTATTTTTGAGTTGGCAACATTTGACGGATATAGCCTGGGATACCCATTGACGAAACTCGCGTCGTGCATCGACACTGCAAAGAAGGCCTGGATTCAGGGAGGCATATAGCATTAGATTTCAGACATAATCCATTGTCGTTATTGAAATAAGACTTGAATGCGCTTGATGGTAGTGGTACAGGGTGGTACAAAGGGGGGAAATCGTTAATCGTCGTCTCCTGTGAGATCTATAATGGAAACTTCGCTCTGCCTCCATTCGTCGTCCTTTGTGAAGCGCTCCGATGCCATCGTCGCCTTCGTTCCGGCTACCCACTCCTCATCGCTCACTTCGACCACCCGGAAAAATCCGTTGACGCTTGTCCGTGGCACCATGACCTTTTTCCTGGTCTCCCTTGAGGCAGCCTTCACGATGGGTTTTGGCGCAAACGCATCGTCTAATTCTAGCCAGGGGGAGGCTGTGACTTTGGTGGTTCGGAAACCACGGAAGCCAGCACCAGCAGCGTCCTTCGGCACAGCGGGCTTGACCTTGGCAGTCTGGCTGACGGTGATGGACGTGCCAGGGCGGACACTGCTCTGGACACTCTTTGGCTGCCTGTCATGGTTGGCTTCCTGATCCGCCGTTGGCCGCGTGGTGTTGCCAGTCACAAACGATTCCATACGTGTCTGCTTCAGCCCCCGCTGACTCTTGGACGGAGTTGTCGCCAGTCGTATTGGTGACGAACCTTTTGTCGACCCCCGGTGTTTCCCAGGGCTTTGGGAAAGACGGTGAGGTACTGATGTAGACGCGATTGGCGGATTGGGCGCGGGCTCGACGAAAGAATCTTCGTCAAGACCTGATAGGTCGATAATGATATGCTGAGGTGTTAGTGGACTCGACGGACTCGACGGGCTCAGAGGGCTCAGCGGTATTTTCATCGACGGAAAAGGAGGCGCAGGCGAAGCGCGGATGGGGCTAGATGACAACAGAATCGGCTCTGCGGGCTGCCGAGGCTTGGTGATCCTAGGCATATGTTGTGAGCCAGCGTATGCCCAGGGGTTACTGTGAGCGGTTGGTTCTGCGGTGGCAGACACTTTCCCGTTGGACCTGGATTGCTTACTTCGGTTGATTGGTCTCTGCAAGGGGTTCGGACGTTGTGAGGAGGAGGAGGAGGAGGAGGCCGGTAACGCAGCCGCAATCTTTGTTGGATCAGGCCTGAGAGTAGTTGGTCGGTGGGGTTGTGGTCGGAGGACATCTTCGTCGTCTACTTGATGTTGCGATGTTGCGCCGCCAGTCTTTGCTGATTGTCTTGTAGTGGTGCCCTTTGTGATTTGCATCCACTTATCGAGCGCGCCGGCTTCGGCTGGGACGGCTTTGGCAGACTTCCTCTTGCCGACGCCCTTGCTGCTTGTGCTCTTGGGCTTTGTAGACGCCTTAGTAGGCTTGGTGCGCTGCTTCTCTTCCCAATCTTCGACAGCCAGAGGTGCGCCTAGCTTGACGAGCGACTCGGGCAGCCAGGTCATCTGGGCGGCATATGGGTCGAATGTACTTTTTGGCACAGCCTGGCTGCTCGCTGGCACTCCCTCGCCATCGATAACAGCTTCGAATTCTTCGTCGCTATTGAGTCCGAGACCCTGGCGATCAAAGGGCACTTCGTCGGCTTCGTCTAGTTCTTGTGAAAGGTCTAGACCGACTATATCGGCCGGAATATGTGCTACACGCAGCTCTGGAATGCCATCGGTGCTGTGGTGGCTTCGTATCCCGGCGATACGGTTGATGAGTTTCGATTCTTCCTTCTCCATTTCCCCTGCCGTCTGGTAGCTTGCTCGGTCGGAAAGGTGCCTCTCCAGTAACTTGTGGACGAGTAACGCAGGTGACAGGACTCGCGTGAGCTTGATAGCACCGATTTTGTTCACCCAGTCGAGCGTCTCATCGGCAAAGTACCGGAGACCTTGCACATCTATCGGGCGACTCCAATTGAGACCTGCCTTCAACCTGTCGATAGTGGTGGCACTTGAGACGACCGGGTGCGTATAATACCTGAGTACTTGGCGATCTGGAAACTCGTCCGGTATGGATAGAGCTTTATGCCGTACTCTGAAGAAGCCGCTCTCGTTCGTACGTAATTCGTGTCGTAAGGTTCTCCTCCACTCATCAAATTGATCATCGTCTTCGATCTTCAAGCGGCATAGCGACTTGCCGAACCCAGCTTTCGCCGCCTCACATGCAACCTTGGGACCGCATCCTGGTACACCCTCCGGTATGTAATCGCCTCCACTCATCAGTGCGACCAACACCATACCCTCTCGATCCAGACCCGTCTCGGCAGACAATAGATCATCGACCTCGTACATGCTAATGTGTGTGGGCGTCTTGGCTCCGCGGGTCCCCTCTGCTGACCAGTTCCGAAGACTTCGGGTGCAGCCGAACATGATTGTGTCGACATCCTCGCTCAAAACTGCGTCGACGATGTTCCGCTGCTGTAAGAAAGCGCATTCGGCTTCTGCTTCGCCGGGCGCGTCATGAACTGGGAATCCAAATAGACGAATGACTCTCTTCGCCATGGCTATTGCAACGCCATCTCCTTTCCCGGAGCGCTTATTGCGCTTGAAAGCCGGCTTGTGAGGGCCATCAAATACAAAAATGGGGTGTATACCAAGACTGAGTAGTCGCACTAAGCGATAGAAAAGAGTCCTGATTGCAGGATTTGTCCCACCTGGTGAGATCTGTCAGCTCTGAAGCGGCCAAATTGGACGTGGAGTTGACGCTACCTCGTGCGGCTTGTGTTTGGAATTGCCAGATGGCGATGTCAATGGCAATCCGTAACGGCCGGCCTGTGTTTTCAAGTTTCTCTGTAGCAAGTTTGGCAAGAGATACTCTTCTGCCGGGACCGAGTTCACGATAAATTCTGTGGTTGTCATGTGAGTGGGACCTCGCTATCATGCTAAGAAGAGGACAGGAGTGGTGGCAAATACCCTTTGATTCCCATTGCAATTCTCCAATGGCTCTGATTTCAAGAATACCAAGTCAAGAAACTGATGCAGGGAAGAAAGATTAGATCTGCGGGTTGAGTGTGGATGCAGAATTCCATCCAAACTTAGGGGCAGAGAGATATCGGGGGGCGAAATGCATGAAGTCGTTGATGCGTCGATGATTCGGATAGCCCAAAAAGAACTACGTTGTGCTCGAAATGAAAGAGTTCAAATTTGAAGTGCAACGAGCCTCCCAAAGATTTGCTATGCGCGAATCATTACACCTAATAACTCATACACAAATCGTATCCAATGAATTCTGCAATGCTCCATCTGTCTGGCGAGTGATGTATGCCTTTCAGCGTGAGAGATGTTGATTGAAGGTTAGTAGTTGGCTCACCACAGAAAGAGGTGGTTACCGGGACTACGGACGGTGCCACCCACCTCAATGACATCTGCACGACCTTCCATGTAGCGCCGGTTCCCCACTTTATTCAGAGCAAAGCGCCAGCAACAGTGCTCCACAGTGATTGACCCGTTTTCGGCCATAGGTACCTTACCTCAGAGGCTTAATTGACAAGCCCTACCTCAAACCTCCAGTCTCACGGGCTGTCTTAACAATTACATTGGACTGTGACCAATTCCTCAATCGCGCGCGAACAATACCCGGAGACATACCAGATTGCTAGCAAAAGACCTGGCGTGCTTTCCGTTACAGGCGTCTACAACTTCACATCGGGCGACCTCTGACAACCAAACACGCGGGGCATGGCTTGCTAAACCGGAGCGCAACGCTCTCAACACCACGAATAACTCATCTCTCTACTACTTCCTACGATATGTCGTCCTCCGCAGCACCGAGCCTTGCCCACCGATCCATTGCCAACATCCGAACCGAGACGGGCTCTGGCATCAGCGGCGGCCCTGCAAGTCCACACACCCCTTCTCGCAACATCTCTTCAACATTTGGCTCCCCGTCCAGTCTACGCGCCGAGGAAGATATCATCGTCATAGAGCTAGGCTCTCGCTTCATTAAGCTTGGGTTCGCCGGAGAGCCAGCGCCGAAGGCCGTGCTATCCCTAGGTCCTGAACAACTACGCCGCGTAGGCGACTTCCGCACATGGGACCCAGATCACAAGGATGATTGGCGTCGTCGTCCAACGGGCAAGACTTGGGGAGACGACCATGAGCTCTGGCAATATGATGTGCGGACCGTTGACTTGGGGCTTGTTGAGGATAAGATAGACCGAGCTATTCGGGAAGCATTGAACAAGTGACGCATCCCCGCCGCCTACGAGTCTATTACAGCATCACTAATGTTTGTCGTTCAGGTTCCTTCTTATCGATTCACGGCCGCGAAGAACCTCTCTTGTCCTGTCCTCGTCGATACCTCTGCCATTACTTTCAACCACCCTCGATGTTCTTTTCCACCGCTTTCAGGCACCGATTGTATCTTTGATGTCAACTGCAGTCACGTCGGTTGTGGGAGCTGGCACTCGGTCAGCACTGGTCGTGGATCTTGGCTGGGCTGAGACCAGTGTGACGAGCGTCTACGAATATCGCGAGATCCGCACCACAAGAACTACTCGCGCAGGCAAGATGTTGGTCAACGAGACACACAACCTGTTGCAAGATGCACTATCGACTTCATCAGCACACTCACAGAAGACCCGTCGAGAAAGGGAACAAGGGCGGCACTCTCTGAGTTTTGAGGAGTGCGAAGAAGTCGCCTGTCGCCTCGTCTGGTGTCGCCAAGTCAAGCGTGGCGATCTCCCAAGTAGTAGGCAGCCGGAGCAACAGCAACCTGGAGGAGAGGCATTGCCTACGGTCGAGGAGCAGGATGAATCCCCGCCGACTTCTCCCATTGAAGAAGAAGAACCGTCTCATGGCAATGTCGAGGTTTTGGTCCATTCCGTGGAACCAGCGGAGAATCTGACTTTACCATTCCAACAACTGTCCGAGCCGTGCGAAAACACCTACTTTGCGCCACACTACTCACGCAGTAGCTTCGATGATGACGAGCTCCCTATTCATCACCTTATTTACCAACACCTTGTTCAGCTTCCGATTGACGCTCGAGCAGTGTGCATGTCGCGCATTATATTCATTGGCGGCTGCTCTAGAGTCATAGGCTTGAAGCGGAGGATATTCGACGAGCTGTCGAAAATCGTCCACGAGCGTGGTTGGGACCCTGTTCAGGGGCGTGCACCAAAGCAGTACGAGAACAATGCGTTGCTGAAGAGAGGCAGCCGACGGGCAACCGAAGGTCCTACAGAGATTGCGCCCCCCGCAAGAGAGACGGAAGAACGTAGAGTTACGGGCGATGATGAGCCTCGAAGCGCAGCGGATGTCATTGAGGACTCCCTGAGGAAGCGAGATAGCCATCATCCTAAAGTTCAAGGCACCCTTCGACCTCTGGGCTCTCTCGGGCCGTGGGGAGGAGCTAGCTTGGCATGCCAGCTCAAAGTTATGGCGATGGCTAATATTGACCGCGAGCTATGGCTACAACAAGGAGTCAACGGGGCTTCACGGCCGAATGAAGTTGACGTCAAGGCTCAGCAGCGGCAAAGCATGGGACCCGGTGGACTGATGCGAGGAGCTGGAGGTCAATCGAACTGGACGTTGGGGGCATGGGGAACTTTATAGCGAGGCGGGTGCAGAGATTTACCTACCGACATGTGACAATGCATTGATACCCCGGAGACCTGCTGGCCTTCGAAATATGAAGAAAAGAACATACAATCAAACTACATAATCATACCCTGTCCAACGCTCGTCTTTTCATTGGAGTGAGCGCGACTGTAGTCAGTTGTGAAGCTGCAAATGCACTTAATTGGGTGAACGGCCCAGTGAAACCCCTGCTATTATGCTTGTAAGCGGTTGATACAGTTATCACTCCGCCGCCGTATCAGATCATCGCACTCCCTCAGAATACTCATTGAGAGGTATGCATTGAATTCCAACCTCTCAGTTACCAGATTTCAAAATGGGGAGAGATCCGACAAGTCTCTTGCGCAGCTCACTAGGGGCAGCAAGGAGGCGCCTACTACACACTTCACCACCCACGCCGCGCATCATTAGTAGAGTGAATTGTCTGGCCTCACACTCACTCCAACATCGCCGTGCCTTTGCAGACGTCAAGCGGCCCTCGACCGCGCCAAAACCCATCATCGACATCAGACATATCAGGGAGAACCCGGAACTACACGAGCAAAATTGTCTCGAGCGCAACTACGTCCAACAGAGCAAGAGCCCCGCCCGCATCAACGAAATTTTTGCGCAATGGCAGGCCCTGCAAAAGGACAGCCGCGCCGTTCGCGAGAGGTCGAACCTGCTGCGCCGCCAGATCGCCAACCCGGCGTCCACCAGCGGCGACGACAATGCCGAATTTAACGAGATCCGGAGCAAGACCCGCGACGAGCTGCTGGACGAGGCCCGCGTGCTCAAGCAGAAGCTCGCGGCCGTGGAGCAGGACGAGGCCAAGCTCGTCGAGGAGATGGAAGGGCTCGCCCTCGCCATCCCCAACCTCACCAGCGACGTCACCCCCGTCGGCGACGAGCCGCGGCTTCTGAGTTACATCAACGAGCACCCACACGAGACGCCCAGCGCCTCGGACAAGGTGTGGCGGTCCCACGTCCACATCGGCTCGGAGCTGGGCCTCCTCGACTTCGCCGGCGCGGGCACCGTCTCGGGCTGGGGCTGGTACTACCTCCTCGACGAGGCCGCGCAGCTGGAGCAGGCCCTCGTGCAGTACGCCCTCGCCGTCGCCACGCGGCACGGCTGGCGCCAGGTCGCACCGCCCAGCGTCGTCTACAGTCACGTTGCCGCCGCCTGCGGCTTCCAGCCGCGCGACCAAAACGGCGAGCAGCAGATCTACAGCCTCGCACAGTCCGCCGCCGACGCCGAGCGCGGCAAGCCAGAGCTCTCTCTCGCCGGCACGTCAGAGATCCCGCTGGCCGGCATGAAGGCCGAGACCACCCTCGACGCCACGGAGCTGCCCGCGAAACGCGTCGCCGTCTCCCGGTGCTACCGCGCCGAGGCCGGCGCCCGCGGCGCGAGCACAAAGGGCCTCTACCGCGTCCACGAGTTTACCAAGGTCGAAATGTTCGCCTGGACCGCGCCCGACGCCGACGAGACGGTCGACGTCTTTGAGGAGATGCTCGACATCCAGACCGAGATCCTCGGGTCCCTGGGCTTGCACTGCCGCGTCCTCGAGATGCCGACCGCCGACCTCGGCGCCTCCGCCGTACGCAAGTGCGACATTGAGGCCTTTTTCCCGTCTCGCCAGGAGCAGAACGATGGCTGGGGCGAGGTCACGTCCGCCAGCATCTGCACCGACTACCAGACGCGCAGGCTCGCCACGCGGGCAAAGATTGACGGCAAGCTCACCTTCCCCTGGACCGTCAACGGCACGGCTCTCGCCGTCCCGAGAGTGCTGGCTGCGCTCCTGGAGGCCGGATGGAACGAGCAGGAAATGTCCGTCTCCATTCCGGCTTGCCTGCAGCCGTGGATGGAAGGAAAGGAAAAGATTGTTCGGAAGACTATTTCATAGCACACAGATACTTTACACAGTCCTATCTGACTTGGACTGAGGATACGGGCATGGTATCTTTTGTAACAACACTTATATTCGCCTTTCTGTACATGAGCATTGCCACGTGCGTCTAGCGCGGAGGAGGCATGGCATGGGAGGCCATCCAAAGCATATTCATCATGTGGCACACAGTCGTAGGGAGGTGATAATTCTGTACTTTACTAGTTCCAACACACTACCTACAATACTAAACATCAACTGGACTCATACCAGCACTACCAATTTCAGACAAAAGAGAAAGGAAACCCAATAACTCCATTTTGATACAAACTACCGTTCATCCCAGGTGACGCCGACACAGCAGGCTCATGCGTTATTCAATACTCGTCAATATGTCCGTGTGAAAAAACAACTTCTCAATAGACACCAATTTCGTTGTCCTAGGCCGCGACTTCATTGTTCAGAGTTTCTTGACTGAGGTCGGAGCCAAGGTCTGAACTAACATTAGAACTGACGTTTGAGCTCACTACACTCTCAGTCCACTCGCTTTGGAGGTCACTCTGCAAATCGCTGTGGTTATCGTCGTAATAGTCCGAATAATCGCCGTCGCCGGTGTAGTTTTCGGTACTCTCTGTCACGACAGTTGTACCGCGGCTACCACGGCTCATACGACTGCCATGACTGCTGCGACGGAGCGTCTCGGTATCACTGGGATCATCGGCCCCAGCTGGTTCTTCGTGCATAACAGGCGTGGGACTGGGCATGTTCTCCTCCTCCGTCTCCTTCAAAGACATGTTCTCCTTATCGAGATCTCCGTAGCCCTTCGAGAAGCCTCCAGCCCAACTAGACTTGCGATGACCACGGGCGCCAGCAGTCCTGACGCTCTGGCTGCGCTGAACTCCACCGGTTGGCACGTTGTTCGTGATCTGGCTCAGGGATAAGATACGGCGAGCAGCGCCTGCTTGCGACGGAGGCTTCAGGTTTCGTTTCGCGGAAAGGGCCAAGTTGACAGCAGGAGATGCAGGCTTCTCGGGGACTCCATTCTCCTGACCCGGCTTCTGGTCCCGGACACGCTTACGGCTCATAGCGTCGCGCCCTTTGGTTGCCTTCGACATCAACAATACGCGGGAATGGTCCATAACACCTTCCAGAATGCGGCGCTCCAAGCCCTCGGCACGAGATTCCATGTCGTGAAGCTCGTCCCGACGGATATGCAGTGCAGTCTCGAGAGACGAGACATCGCCCGTCAGTCTTGTCTTTTGCCGGATGAGACTTTCTTGCTCCGTCCGAAGTCCGAGAACAGAAGCCCTGAGTCTCTCTTCCTCTTGCTTCAGATCCAGCAAACTGGCTTCGATCTGCTCCTTGAGAGCAAGCTTGCGCTCGAGATCAATGTTCACCTCCTGGAGAAACTGCTCTCTGTCGTCTTCCTCGTCTTTGATCTTCTTGGTCTGGCTTGCAAGGAAGAGCGAGATGTCCGTGGCTGTTTGGATGACTTGCTGATGGACCTTTTCAAGAGTGTCGAGCTGACCAAAGGCCTTCTCAGCAGCATGACTATGATCAACGAGCTCGTCCAGCTTGACGTGAACGGCGGCATCGTCATACTTGTCGGTGGGGATCAGTGCCTGCTGTTCAGCCAGAACTCCGAGCTGTTCCCGAATTTTGGTGTCATCGTACTTTTCGGTTGGGATCAACAACTGCTGCTCGGCAAGCTTGTCCAGCTTCTCGTGCACTGGCGCATCGTCGTACTTCTCCGTAGGGATCAATGACTGCCCACAGGCAAGCATGTCGAGCTTCTCCTGAACTGCCGCATCGTCGTACTTCTCAGTCGGAAGCAGAGACTGGTACTCGGCGATCCTGTCCAGCTTTTCCTGGACCACTGCGTCGTCGTACTTCTCGGTCGGGATCAACAGCTGCTGTTCAGAGAGCTTGTCAAGCTTCTCATGCACCGGCGCATCATCGTACTTCTCAACAGGCACCTGAGAGTGCTCCACAAGCATGTCGAGTTTCTCATGAACAGGCGCGTCGTCATACTTCTCCACAGGTATCTGAGAGTGCTCCACAAGTTTGTCAAGTTTCTCATGGACCGGCGCGTCGTCGTACTTTTCAGTCGGGATCAACAGCTGCTGTTCAACGAGCTTGTCAAGTTTCTCGTGGACCGGCGCATCATCGTACTTTTCGACTGGTACTTGAGAGTGCTCTACAAGCTTGTCAAGCTTCTCATGAACGGGCGTGTCGTCGTATTTCTCTGCCGGAGTGGAGACATGCTCCACGATCTTGTCAAGCTTCTCGTGTACTGGCGCGTCATCGTACTTCTCAGCAGGAACAGAAGCATGTTCAACGAGCTTGTCGAGCTTTTCGTGAACACCTGCATCATCGTACTTCTCGACTGGAACCTCGGAATGCTCGATCAATTTGGTAAGCTTCTCGAGAACGACAGTGTCGTCATACTTGTCTGGGATTGGTGGCAGAGCGAGCTCGACTGGCTTGGCATCCTCGATTGTCTTTTGTATATCATTCGTTGACGTCTTGGCGTAATCGTAATGTTGACCAACAATAAGCAAGACATCTTTGATCGATTCCAAGATCTGGGGTTGAGATTCAACAAGCTGTCCCTGAATGATTTCGACGGCGTCGACAGCTTGCTTCAGGTGATCCCGAGTTTGCTGGTGGTCGGCCTTCCCATCTGTGTGGTTCTCCTCAGACTTGGTCATGAGATCCTCAACTCTGGTGAATACAGTCTTGGATGCCTCCTCCATCTTCTCCATCGAGTCGGTAACAGCAGCGCCAAGTGTGTCCACGAGAGACTTGAGCTCTTCCGCAACAGCCTTGGTACCCAGGACTGCCTCTTCGGTGCTGGCATCTCTTGCCTCCCCAGCCTTGGCGCGGTCGTCAAGGGCAACGTGAAACTCGTCGTACTTGGTCATCAGCTCCGTGACCTTCTCCTCAATCTTGGCGCTCAAGGCATCAGTGGTCTGCTGGAACTTCTCGTCTGACTCCAGCTTAGCACCGACTACGGCGGCCTTGGACTCCTCGAACTCTAGCTTCATCGTATCGGAGAGGTCCTTCAGGTCTTGGTTGACCGAAGCGTTGTTCTCCACTGCTGTCGACACACCCTCAAGTAGCTTTGAGAGGCTCTCGACTCCAGTGGCACCCTCTTCGAGTTTACCCTTGACCAAACCCTGGAACTCCTCGAGGAAGGTCTTGACTTCAGTCACACGTTCGCTAACGCCAACGATCTCGGCTTGGCGCTCCTCGCTTCCCTTGTCGTGCGACTCGACCAGGAGGTCAAGTCGTGTCTTAAGCTCTTCGAGTGGAGCCTTGAGCTCCTCGATGGGGATCTTGAGGTCCGTCTTTAGCTCCGTCTTCAGCTCATCCAATGGGACTTTCATGCCCTCCTGCAGTCCTTCCTTGAGCCCCTCCAGAACCACCAACGCCTCGAGGGGGCCTTTGAGCTCCTCCAAGGTCGTCTCTGTCTTTTTCAGGTCCTCCTTGGTGACGAGGGTGGCGATCTCAGTTTTGAGCAGTTGATCGAACACGTCCTTGATATCGTGACAAGCAGCTTCCACAGCCTCGACGTCAGTCTTGGTAACTCGCTCGGGATCCTCCAATTGCTTGGCAGCGCTCTCTTTCATTTCTTCAAAGCCTGCAGCAACCTGTGTTACCAATGCTTCAACGGATGTCACGTCATCCTTCTTCGGGAGAGTATCCAGCTGCGTAGTGATGAGATTGATGGCTTCCCTGGTTTCCAGTATGGTGTTCTCCAAGCTGTCTAGATGTTCCTTTCGCACCGCTTGCTCGTTGTCAATGAGGTCGTCCAGCCGACCCTTAGTGTTACGAAGGATAGTTTCAATCGCCTGGACGTCCTCCTTTGTTGAAGCATCGGTGCTGACAGGGCTCTCCTTGGACTTGACCCACTCCTGGATGGGCAGAATCGCCTCTTCCAGACGGGTAATATCCTCCTTGGTGACTGAGCTCTGGGCGTTGAGCAGGACTTCTTCGATTCGGGAAGTCTCGTCCTTGGAGACCGACTCTTGTACAAGTCGAAGCATGTCCTCGAGACGGAGCATGTCGTCCTTGGATGCAGATTCCTGGAGAGAACGAAGCATGTCCTCCATACGAGTGAGATCATCTTTGGCGACAGGATCGGCGTTCGCGGGTTCCATGGCCTCGATCTTGATCCGGAGCTGAGTGATGAGAACCTCAAGGTTTTTGATGTCATCCTGCTTGAGGGCATCGGCCGGGACCGGTACAACAGCGCCGTCATGCATGGTTGTCAATGCTTTGTCGTTCTGGCCTTGCAGTTCCCGGAGACCATCGATTTCTGAGCGAACATTGTCCAGCCCGGCTTTCAATGCGTCGAGGACCTCATCGTTAGCTGTGAGATCCGCTGGCCGGTTCGCGACCTTGTCAATGCTGATGCGCAGATCGGCCAAGCCATCGTGGAGAGCATCTAAAATGTCCGTGACGCCGGCAAAGGGTCGGCGCAGTTCGCCACGCACACTGTCGATTCCATCTCTCACGGCTTCGATAATCTCCTTCTGGTTGACTTGCGGAGTGACCGGCACCATGGAGGAGTTGACGGTGTCGCGTAGCGACTCCATGTGTGACTCGATTGTTGACCTGGAATCGCTCGAAACGCGGTCGACCAGCATAGCCATCTCATCTCTGAAGGTATCTAATGTGCCGAGAAGAGTTTGGGTGATTTCTTCCTGCCCGGCGGTGCTGCCACTGAGATGACTGACATATGCTTCCATGTCGGCACGAAGCTTCTCCAGACCGTCCTTAGTAGCGTCCAAAATCTGCTCAGTGTCACGTCCGTTGGCGGCGGCGTTCACTTTCGCATCCTCTGTCACTGCTCGGAACTCTCCACGCATGTACTCAAGAATATCTTGCAAACGAGTGACGACTTCTTCGTTGTTGCTCTGGTGCGGTACGAGAGCTCCGGCGGTAGGCAGATCGTAGCCGCTGAGACCTTCCTTGACCGCATGAAGCATGTCCTCTCGGGTGAGTTCTTGTGTGAACGCTGAGGGGGCAACAGGGAACTCGAACTCCTCTAAGCACTCGCGAACGGCTTCCAGAATCTCGTCTCGTGAGAGGCTTGTTGGTGTCTCGACGCGGGGAGGCGAGAAATGCTTGAGACCCTCGACAACTGCTTGGAACACCTCTTCTCGCGAAGCTCCCACGGGCTCCTGGTCCCTGTCGACATAGTCCTGCAATCCCTCTTTGAGGTACTCGAGGATCTCTTCACGTCCAAGACCAGGATCTTGGTTCTCAACCTCGGGCTTGTAGTTTTCCCAGGCGTCCCTGACAGCCTCGATGACATCCTCCCGATTCAGATCAGGCTCTTTCTCCTGCGATGCTTGGGAGTCTCGGAGCGCTGCTCTCATGGCATTATATATTTCTTGATAGTCGATTGCTGGTGCTCTTGAGGCCACAGAGTTGGCGGACTGGCGTCGATGCTCACGAAGAAGCTCGTCCATGTTCTCTCTCATCTGCTCGATTCCCTCGTGGACGATCTTCGAAACTTCGTCATTATCGGTCGAGGGCTCTTCAGCCTTCGGTTGTGCCTGAGCTTCGTCCAGTCTCCTTCCAATCTCCCGTCCCATACCCAGGACTTCGCCACGTAGCTCCCGGACAAGAGCCTTGACTTCTGCGGTGAGACCGCCCCCTTGTGCTACGCTGTCCTTGACGGTACGGATGATCTTGAGCACTTCGTCACTGACGATCTCAGAAGCATTGCCAGATGCCGCAAATTTCGAGGCGGGCTCATTATGCAAGGCCCTCTCGGATCGATGGGTCAGCTGACTTGCATAGCCGGGGTCGTAATCAAAGTCCATTGTGCTGTTATCGTCGTCAAACACAGCTGCACGAGGCATATTCCTGGTGCTCTCTCCATGACCGCCGACGCTTCGCGGGATCATGGCGTCAACTGGCTTAGTCTTGACGAGCTGGATCAGCTCCTCGACCTTTGAAGCGGGCGCCACTCCAGCAAGCTTCTCGGCGACGTCGGTCAGGCGAGCAAGAAGCAGGTCATGTCCCTCCTTCGTACCCATGTCTCTGATAATCTTGTCTAGTATCGCAATGGTAGTCGGAGACTCTGAGTTGGAGTTGGTGTTGGAGTTGCAGAGCGAAGGTGTGCTCAAGGCATCTCGATCGATGGATGCCGCAAAGCTGTTCGGTGAAGGAATTCTAGGTAGAGAAAAGGGGCGTCCGGCTTTGCTTGGTGGAGGGGAGGTGTGGTGGGGCTTAGTATCGAGGAACAAGCTGTTGACGAAAGGGTCGCGGGAGCTCGGCCTGCTGCTTGCAGCAGCATCCTGGGCATTATTGATAAGTTCGCGCAAGCTCTTGCGGATATCCTCGTCCCGAGCCTTTGTCGCTTCCTTCAAACTAAGCAAGTCGGTGGCATTGTCACGACTTCTTCGGCTCAACTGGGCCATGTCTTTCTGGAGAGCTGTCGCAATGCTAGTGAGACTTAGAATCTGCCCCGAAAGAGCTTCGACCTGTTGAGGAGCCTTGACGAGTGCAGTAGAGCCATTTGCGACGTTCTCCTTGTCCTGCTGGCCTTGAAGCGGCATATTCTGTATGGCAAGCATGGTAGCAGATTGCGGAGGTGTGTTTTCGCCCAAGATGCTTTGCTGTTGTCTTTTCATTGTCGGACGTACGACTGGTGTCTGACTTTGAACTGATGAAGGCGTAGTGGCCTCTCTCTCCGTCGATCTCAGATCTGCAAAGCTATCTCTCCTGCTGTCGGCGAAACTGTCTCTTCTTGTGTCGGCGAAGCTGTCTCTTCTGTTGGCCGCCGGCGTGGAAGGGCGTGTCCGCTCAGGGGATTTTGTCGGCGAAGGAGGGTTGGATTGCTGGCCACTCTCCAAGAGAAGGCTGAGGTCTCTGACGTTTCCTGGTTGTAGGGACTGCATGCGTTTGTGGTGCGATCCTTTGATAAGAGAACGTTCGGGGGATGTTTCGGTATTCCTTTTGGTCAAAGGCGCCGGAAGCATGGCGCTCTCGCGAGCTCTCTCGTTTAGAGCAGCGTGAGCAGACTGAATAGCAACGGAAGTTCCTTTCCTAGAGGTTGTAACTGGCGATTGCGGGTTCATGGGCAAGGGCGGTGGTGCCCTGTCGGGATCTGAGCTGTCCCACCTGGTCTTCATCAGTCGACGCCAGATAGCAGACATGGCAAGCGCATCATGAAGGTTGTGTATGGGGAATGGGTGTTGATGGAAGAAGTTTTGTGTTTTGGCGACTTACATGGGGACCAGAGCTCTGCCTTGATCAGAAGACATTGATTGTCTGTGTCTCAGAGGTCGATCAGCGTCCCTGGAGGCTTCGCGCTCCACGGGCGCCATTGTTCTCGAACGGGGCGACGAGGTGACTAGAATGTGATGGAGGTCGGGTGAGTGATGTTGGTGGTGAGGCTAAGAGGCCTTGGAATGCGGGCGCGAGGGAAAATGTAAGTCAATGCAATGCGACACAGTCCCCCCCAGGCAGGTTGGTGTTGATGATGGGATATTCAGGTAGTGTTAGTCGTTGCTTGAGCGCCGCGCTGCACCAGGAAGAATGGCATAAAGCGTCAATTGCTGGAAGCAGATGTGAAGAAGCTCTGCAGGAAGCGATGATGGCGAATGTGCAAAGCAAAACCTAAGCAAAACGAGGCAATGTCAAGTCAAGGTCATCCGGGACTCTGTGATCCAGGGCAAAGCTCGAGTCGGTGACAGCGGTAATATGGGTGGGAGCAGTCTTAAGAGCCGGGTGGGGGGATTTCAATGTTTGTTACCCGGGGGAGTTGGATGGTGGATGGAGCCGGGGATGGGTGTGGATGTGACGACGACGACAACGAACAGGTGCGGTGAGATGTTGTTCGGGGCTGCTCACGTTGACGGGCCCCTGCCAATCGAGGTTGACGGCATTTATTTTGCGAGGCGTTGCGGAGCAACCATCACCAACTAGCAGTGCCGTCTGCGCTGTTGCTCAATGTTTGGCTGCGTTGATCGGGCACCCACTCGCGGCTGCATCCAAGCGGGGGCCGCTAGTGAAGCGCCCGTACCCAACCTTGGTGCCATCCAATGCCTATTCGCCAGGGGTGCTTTGGACGACACTGACAGGAAGAAGGTGCGATAAGATAAGAGAGGAAACTCGTCGTTTTCTCACATCTTCCTACCTATTCCTGAGGTGCACTTCAAATATGGTTCTATCGCTCCTCCTTAGTAAGATAAGATACAATACCTAACGCTCATTGCTGTCAGAGCATCAGTTCGGTGCACTTGGGGCAAGAATATTCCGCAAAATATCGGTCATAAGAGCGTTTGCAAGGGAAGCGACTTATATCTTCCACTGAAAATGGTTTGTCAATTGCATGGCCCGACCACAGCTCCCACCTAGATTGAGGTATCAACATATCTGGAAAAGAAATTCGACGCTCTCTTTTCCTGGCCATGGAACTGTATATTTGTATTTGCATCTACGCATGATATCCTGATCCCGCCAACCTGCTTCAATAGCTTCGGTTTTGGATTAGCGACGCCTAGGTCAAAACAGAGTACCCTCCACATGGTAGGTATCTCGGCTTGACTGACTGACAGCGCGACCGACGTCAAGGCGTTGCCAGCCTTGGAGTACAATATCCCAAAATATCCAGTTACTGGATGAGAACGAATAACAATCCCCGACCCAGCTACTCACCGAATTCATGGAGTCGAGGAGGAGGGGCTGGTAGAATACCCTCACACCAAACTCACCCATATTAAAGACAAAGACTAAATTACTCTTGAAATCTACATCTCAATTCCTGCGGAGGTAATGGCACCTGGGAGAAACACCAGCAAGCTCACTTACCAGAAAACCTGGTTTGGCACACGCCGAACTACAGCATCCATTCCCTCTGCCGCGTGAAGGGCTAAGATGCAGTAGTAGTAGCGGCTCGAGCGAGGAAACCCCCCAAAACCAGACACCGGAAAATGTTGAGAGGCAACCCAGTCGTGATTGGCCGTAGACCTGCATCCCTCTCCTTCCTTCCAAGATCTTCATGAGGTCTAGACGGTAAGCAGTGCATATCTATATCAAGAACCACAACTGCACATGACATCTCGCATGATTGGACAGGAAAGTAGGCAATGATCGACGCGAGGGACCCGACAACTCTAATTCTTTGCTTCTCAGTTACCACATTGGCGGGGCGGAACGTACGCTGCAAGAGCCATGCCCTGATTACCGAGAGAAGACATATAGGACTGAGTATAAGTCGCGCCGTTGCTGTTGGGGTTTACATTTCTTAAAGGGGACCGCGCATCACGGCGGTGATTTCCAACTATCACACGCGTACAAGCCGTGGTGCCATGGTCTACAGCCCTCCCATCGCAAAGATAACTGGCAAGGGTTTGTACGGATTGGAGTCTTGGACGCGGGTTGTGTGGTCGTCCGTCGTTGGATGCACACTGCAAGATGCACTGCCACACCCATAAATCATATGAAGAGAGAGTGGCGCAAAGTGCCGCGTCGGTGTCAAGCGCCACGACTGCGTACTGGATGCCCGAGGAAGTGGGAGGGTTGCAGTAGAATAAGTTTTGCCAGGTTCTAGAACGACTCCTTCAGCACGACCAGGATGTTCAGACGTAGATCCTTCAGTTCCGCAACCGCAATGACGAGAAACAAGACGGTCGAAGCTGATCTAACTTTGCCAACCTTCCCGCTGTTTAATTGAAGAGGTACTGTGTACGGATACTCAAAACATCTATGCACTGTTGAGAGGGGGGCGGTGTGTTATGCTCCGTGTCCGAACAAACTTCACATTGGTAGGGAGACCCTCGCTCTCGAGAGGCGGAAGCCAAGAGAGTATGGGACCCCGATGGGCATTTTGCTCCAGTCAATGACTGTCCATTTCAGCCCTTTATGCCCCCGACCGCCTTGGATCAGTGCGGCCATCTCAACCAGCAATTGGGACACATTTTTCCACCCACATGAACTTACAACCCGGCGAGCGGATGCTGAGTTGGTCAAAGATGGCTTGCTCGGTGGCGAAAAACAAGTAGCCACAACCAAGGTCTGTACGATTTGACAGATGGCAGCTGTGGGGGAGAATTTGCGGTGAACTGACGCGAGAAAGCGGTCGTGGCGCTGTACGGAGTATTGTGTTGGTTGCTGTCGAGACTACGGGGGAACCCCTGTTCCGACCTGTCGCCAGCCGAAAACTCGATCTGAGGCTAAGCCATCAAAGGCCGTATTCAGGTGGGAGTATTCGTACCGACAGACTGATAGGCGGTACATAGGCAGGTAGGTAAGACGCGTCGATCGGTCGTATCTGGTTTCTCGCATACAATTGAATGCAAAGTGGCTATTTGCAGGCCTTGCGATAGCTCAAACTTGAGCGGATGAAGAGCAGAAAAAAGGGCCGGGCGAGAAGTGCAAACTTGAGAGGCTGGGAGCTACCAAAGGTGGAGGCTAGCGGCCTTTCTGTCCCGGCTTGGTTCCGTTCGAGCCGGCCGCGGTGTGTGCGAGTGGACTACTCCCCCGGCAAGATGTGCGGGGACATCTAGTACGGATACCGACGAGTCGACAAGTCGGCAACCGGTGTAAGGTGTCTTTGGTTCTTGTTCTTCTTGGAGTTCGGGTTGAGATGACAAGACCTAAGAAGGGGTTCGCGACGCTTGTTCAGACTCCCTGCAGTTGCGGGGGCCCTATCTTTACTCAAGCGTCCAACAGAAACGGTTCAGGATGCTTCTCAATGGGCAGCGGCCGTTGGCTAGTAGACGTTGAAGGCGTGCGGCAGAGTCCAGACACGTGTGGAGGCCAAGTACCTGAGGTACCTCATGTTTTGGATCGGGTTGGCAACGGGTGGCCGGATGGCAGCGTTTGCGAGACGGCAGTTGTCACTGAAGGCCGCAGAACCAGAGGTTTGCATGGCTTTTCCCAGAACCGGCGATCGAGTTTCATCTGCTGAGAAGATTTTCTACTGCCTCAGCCTCTTCGTGCGAATTCCCTGATGCAATGTGGAAGATTTGGATCGGGCCGGGAACAAGCGAAGTTGGAGCCACACGTAGGGGACAGAGCAGCTCAGTATGTCAAGCTTGATATTTGCGGGCGGTGGTACGAATAACCAGGTTGCAGAGACGTGTTGGCAATGACTCTGGTCACTGATGAGAATTCGTAGACCATGCGTAACTACTTCGCAGTATGTGGTTCTGAGTCTGTGCTAGGACGGACGCGGGTCTCGCAAGCATTGAGTGAGTGAGTGGCGCATCTTGATTGATGAGACGGCGTACGATAAACGATGCGCTTGGTGTGGACTGATGCACGGTGCCTCTAGGTGGGTACTTTACACCTTGCAATGCCATGCGATAACCTCCAGGTTGGCGTCGATGTTGCAAAGGAATGTAGAGCACAGGCTCCAGAGTGCCTCATGCGTGGAACAGACGTCAATTCCAGCGTCACCCGTGTCTATTCGATCATGCTCTCCACCTCCCTCGACTCCTCCAGTCCTCGAGTACCTCTGGCTAGGTTGATTTGGTGACTCGGGCTAGACGCTGGCTTCTGGCGGGAGCATACTAGAATGTCTCGGCCGGTGAGGTATGGTGCAATACCTTATCATTGGACTGCGGTCGATTCTTGCTGTGGGTTCGTAGATGCGAAACAGAGCACGTGTTCGGTGAGGAGTAGTTGAAGTAGGTATACGGAGTAATACTAAAAGGAAGAGGCAGAGATGACCAGAACCAACGCCGTGACGCTTCAACGAGGCTGGATCTTGTGTGGAGCGCAGGGAGTTGGGTGTAGGGATTCAAGGTGAAGGGCCAGGCGAGTGACGATCACGGAGTTCGCGACGGCCGTGGATGGTGGAGCACAGGCATGGCGAGGGAGTGGGCCACGGCCGAGGGAGGAATTGCTTGAAAGGTGGCATATGGGTACGGAGTATAGAATCTGTAAAAGTCAACCGTGGAGGGTGAAAATGAAGGATACGTGGCGGCGAGAGTTGAAAGGGAGGTGTGAGGTTGCAGAGGGCGGCTTCCCAGCTCATCGTGCATGAAAGCCGCCAATTTGCCGACTTTATTACCAAGGCGGCGCAAGAGTCCAAGACCCAGCCAGTTCTTTCCATTTGGTTTGGGCTAGGTAAGGTAGGTACTTTAGGTAGGTACTACGTACCGTACAGTACTGCGAACCGGTACGTATTCGAAGAGGTACACGGCGATTTGGCCCCGAGATGTCGCAACGTACGATTCCGCTTGCTTTTGTCTGGTGCTGTTCAGCCGTCTCTCCCTTCTCCGTATTCTCCTCCCACGGGCGTTAGATAGACGCTGCTTGGTGAAGACCTAGGTACGCATTATGTTCTGCTTGCACCAGCACTGGCATCTAACCGAAACAGGCCAGGCGCAAAAGAATGACAACTTTGCGTGTAATCTACGGATGCCACACTAATACTACTAAGGGCCGTCCGGGAGCTCGCGAGGTCGTGGTGGTTGCCAAATCTCATGTGCGACATCAGACGAGCTGGAGCATCCTCTCCATGACTTTGCCAAATGGAAACCCGCCCTGTTCGCGCCTGGTTTTGACACATGTGCTCACGAATGCTTGTCGCGATTTCATCTGCCCAGGGCTGCTTCATTCCCTTCCTTGTCTCAACTCCTACACGGTAAGTACCATAGGTGAGTAAACGTGTACAGATGCGGCAAGAGGCCGGTGAATAAGAGCATTGGCTGCGCGACCGTGATACAGAGAGAATCGCAATAAAAAAAAAAAGAGAAGGAAAGCAGGGAGGGAGCACACCGGACTGGGGGTCGCCAAATTACACTTCCAAGGACCCGCCAGTTGTTCGCGGGCTGCCTGGAAATCTTTCGTCCCAAGTGGCCGCATCGTCCAATCATGGCGCGTGCGACTGCACCTCGGAAGCGCCAGATGGTTTAGCGTCACCGGCCAAGGGGGTGGGGAGGTACACTCACTATAATTCATCGCAGCAAAACTGGAAAATCAAACCTGCCTTTTCCTACGAAATACTCCATACGTCGACTCTCTTGACGATTGAGGTTCCGTGTGCCTCAAACCCTCTCCATCCCGGGTGGGCCAGTGGCTCAGTTTTCTTTGATGCGCCCAGCCCTGTCGCTTCAAGTTCAGGTGCCCAGTACGAATAGGGAAAGCTACCTACCTTATCCCATGAGGTTGCCATCAATCATGGAAGGTGACATAGAAGCAATGGAAAGTACTTGTTTGCTTCGCGCATAGTACTGTGAGAGCAAGAGAGGGAAGAAAACGCTCAAGAGGCTCTTCCCCCCAAACTAATCCACCTAAGATAGCTGCTCTCCAAGCGTCCAAGGCGATGGACGGCACCAGGAACTTGGAAGCAATCCCATAATACGGATACTTGAAAGGAACTTCCTCAAGGTACCTTACCTCAGCCCAGGGCCTCGCTAAGAAGGTGAGAGGCTGGCTATCTCTCCCACCTCAGGCATGAATCTCCAGGTACCGGCCTGTACCTTGTTCCTGCCTTAGCACCCCTCCTCCCTGCTTTCCTGCCAGCCTGCCAAGGTACCACCTCCACTACGAAGTTTTGTACTCCGTACCCGGGCAGTTGCCAATCCTCTCCCCTAGTCCCCCCTCGTCAATCACCCTTCGGCGCTATTACTCGAAGGGCACCGCACGAAACCTCTCTAGGACTAAACGCCTCCACTCCTTACTCACTTAGCTTATATTGTCCCACCGCCCTCTGCGCGCCGCCTCCCGACGTCCCTCACGCCTTTCCCGTCACTTTGCGCCTGCGAAACCACCTGCACCCCCAGCTGCAACCCGCCTGCATCTGCTGCCCATCGTCTTCCTCGCTGCCGTCTTACCTTACCTTAAGGCTTATCCCCAAAGCAACCGCATCCCCCAAAATTTCGGCACCAATTCAGTTTCCTCATTGCATCATCCAACGACCACTGCGTTACATTTGTCGACTGGCAGTATTGAAGGACCGACAATCCGCAAAGGGAGGAACCGAGAGGGAACAACCAGCTAGCTGTCAAGAAGACGACCAACCGTTGCCTCAAAATCAGCTGAGAAGAAAGTCGCATCGCGTCGACGGGGGAAGGATCGAAATACGAGGCTGCGAAACAGGACCCGCTTGCTCGACCAGCCACCCGACAACATATTCCTCATCTTCGCCAACTTTTGCAAACAACCATCAACCTCAATCAACTCTAAGAACGAGAGGAGCAGATCGGACTTGTAGCTACCGGCCGACCGTTACCGTTTTGCCGCCTCGCCGTTCCATGTACACCTCAACAACGCGACTCTAATACTAGTTACGCCATTCGAATCCACTCGTCCTCGAGACATTAACGCCTTTGTTCTTGTCGCCTGCAAAAGCACTTGAATTTGGGAACACTTGACGTTCAAAGGAAAGGGACACCCATTGGCACGTAGCTGTTAGTCTCGCCGCAAACGTCAGCCACAATGGGTTCAACACAGTTTGGCAATTTTTTTGTAAGTTGTGCCTACTATCTTAGACGCATACTGCGTGATGCTGACCATATTCGCAGAACTTCTGCCGAGACTCAACACTACCCGTCTGCAATGTATGTTGAATTCTTGATCGACATCTCGCGATATGCATCTGACGAGCTTTCGCGAGCTTCGGCAACCTGAACTAACCGATTCTTCCTCAGGTGCTGTCCGACAGCCATAGTCAATCTGGCCCGTGGGACCAATGCGTGTTGAAGGGTATCTCCCTCAGCGGAGGCCGCAAGCTGGGAAATCTCGGCTCAATTCTCATTGCCGCCCTTGCTATTGTCGTGACACTTTTTCTATTGCTGCGGTCTGAGCGCAAGAAGGCTGCAGTAGGTCGGAGGTAAGCCCGTGACGTCGCTCAAGCATTGCGCACGACCGGCAAGCTAACCTTGACGCACAGGGAAATGCAATTGTTCCTTGTCAGCTTTATCATTATTGAAATATGCGAGATCTTTACCGTTGGAGACTTTCCATTGGCGGAAAACGTTCGAATCGTTAGTTTCCCAGTTGAGGCTCCAGCTTTTGGGAGCAATTATCCTGACTGACGTATAGGCTTTTACCGGAATTCATCTCGGTATGATTATTGCATCGACCTGGATCCTCATGCTTAACGCGGTCGTTGGCTATCAAATCGTCGACGATGGAACGCCCATGTCCATGGGCCTGATCATTGCCTCCGCCACTATCCTCTTGGGCGGTACACTTTACATCACGCTCGATACCGGCTTCAAGTGGACGGGTTACTGGGACTCTTCGTACACCGCGCCAAACCGCCATATTGCTCTCTACGTCTTGTACCAGCTTGCGCCGCTAATTTTCCTTGTTGCGTTTTTCGTTCTCGAAGCTATCCTCGTCGTTCGGGTTCTCGGCGAGATGCGGCCGATGATCTACTTGACGGCAGCCTTGCTCCTCTTTGCCATTGGTCAGATCTTCAACTACGTCGTGAGCTCTCACATCTGCAATGGCACCAATGGTGCGATTGACGGCGCGCTATTCGAGACCTTGTTCACCCTGCTTGCTGTCGTGGCAGTCTGGGTGTTCTGGTCTAGCATCACCGAGGATGATTGGCCCATGCCTGTCGGAACCACCTTCCCCTAGAAAGGAGGCCGCTCTACTATCAAAGGGGAAAACGGTATGATGAGACCGTACGCAAAAAATTGGTCGAGCACTTGAACAGCGAAGTCCGCGCGACAATGTGGCTGCTTCTTACTTGCAAAGCAGCGATGGCCAGGCAGCATGTCTGGGGTCACCATTCATGCCCTAGCAGCGAGTCCGGCTATCCTCGATGTCACGCCATGCCTAGCTGTGTCTTTCCGTTATGGAGATACGGTCACCAGCCGCCTTCCACCAGGCCATACAGCAGCGAACAGACGACGATGCGCGAGGTTGAGCTAGTGGCATGGAGCCCACGAAGATGCACAATATGGCTGCACCCATAATCGATCCTGGAGACACCCATGTCTACTCTGGATATTTTCTTTACACTCTTTAGCACCGCCGAACCCAAATACTCGAACGACGTGCACGAATTTTGAATACCGAGAGCATGCGATAAGACACATGCTGAATATTTCATAATTTCAATCTCACCAAATCCTGAGAGATTTGGAATGGTAATGAGACGAAGTGCTGCGTCGGCAGTATAAATCAGCGGAGAAGGAGAGGGGAGATGCCTTTGGGGCATTATGACGTTTGGAAGAGGATTTTATGCTTGAAAAGCGCAGATGCATGAGACGATGAATGGACGCGCGAGACGTCTCGTCTTGTTTGTACAGCGTGTTGATTTTGATATTCTACGTATTGGCGGACAGTATACCCCAGAGGAGCGACTAATGTATATGAAAGTCGAATGATGGAATTGACAGATGAATGGTTTACTCTACAAGTTTTTGTCTGAAATGTCGTAATTATCTCTGTATAAGTTGTAAGCGCACCACACGCCCGCAACGTTTTGCTAAGGCCAGACATAATCATTCCCAACAGTCAAATCGCTGTGATATCTGCATAGTCGATCTCGTTGGTCATGCAATGATATACTGCCCAGTATTCAGCTCCTATGGGGACTGAGTAACCATCGACGTCTCCAAAGTCCTTCCGCATGCCGCTGGCCAACCTTGGCTTTCTGATGAGGCGGTGGGAATATTCTCAATGGCGTCTAGGTAGACATGCGATGTTGAACAGACGGAGGTTAGGTAAAGAATCAAATGATCACTACGCAACTGGCAAACGCTACGAGATAATTCCACAGATTACTAACGACGCCTGACAGCGACAGACCCCTGCGACTTGATCCCATAATGTGAATTCTCAAAAAGCCACACCTATAAAGCAAACGCTTATGCGATCTTGACTTTGACCAAATTGCAAAACTACCCGTTCCCTTCAGTTTAGCTTTGCCGGTATCCCTTTCCTCTCTCCTCGTTCATTGTTTGAGGCGAACTAATCTAGGTCAAAGTGACTTGCGAAGACCGGCATCCATATTGAGCCGGTACCAATGAAGCCAACTCCCGCCAGATTCAAGACGACAATCCAAGCTTCTGCTTTTGCACGCGCGGGATGATACCCACGAGGATCAAGAGAGAAGTTACGACGACAGCCCAGAGCTTCAGCTTCAATACATTATAGTTGAAACCGGTGTCAATGGCTGTCGCGGCCGTCACGAGTAGAAGCACAAGAACGACGTAGCCGCTCCAGCGGTGGTACTTCCAGATTGATTTGGCGGTATCCTCGCCCCCGTACAACTTCGGGGTAGCCCACATTGTGAAGCCGACAATGTACTGCAATAAGAGGATGATGGAGACGGTGACGCCTAGGTAGCCATGAACGGAGTGGAAGTGGGAGTCTGGGCCCTGCAGATACTTGTTGTACTCGATGATGCCGACGCCGGCGACAAGGAAGAGGAAGGCGAGCAGGTTAAGGCCGGCGTGGACGCGCTGGCCGACGCGCTTCTGCTCAGGAGTGTGCGTCGGCTGCAGCGAGAGGATCGACTGGGTGAGGGTGAAGATGGCGAGACTCTGCGCGAGCGGGTGGCCAGAAAAGAGGATTACGTCCTTCGTCAGCACGGCGGCCCAGATCATGGCAACGAAGATGACGGCGCCGAATTGGGCGATGATGCCGGTGCCTGCGAAGGTTTACAAATCAGCAGCCACCCGGGAAACCTCAAAGGGAGACGGGCTGTGGCTGGAGGGAAAGCATCATACCGATAATGAGGTTCCTGGCGATGAATTCACCCGGTTCCTGCTGGGCGTCGCCAGGTCGACCGAGAAGAGGCTCGAACTCGTTGTCGCCATCGCCTCGTGGGGGTGGTTCTGGAAGCCCTGTGGCAGAAGACATGATCGTTGGTGTAGTGGTGGTTGTCGTTGTTGCTGGGAGTTGCAAAGAGGGCCTCGGGGAATGGGTCTCGGGGAATGCGTTGTATTTCTAGGAGCGAGGGCGCAAAGCTACGACAAATCTACTCTCGATTGTCGCAACAGGAATTGCGATTGTCGTGAGCACTCGGAGTCAGTAAGGATGAAGAGATCAAGTTGGGACAAGCACACAGGGCGGTGTCGAAGTATGGCCTAATTGCCGTGATCACTGCGGGCCGGGTTTGGAAGGAGGAGAAGGAAGATGAGGGAAGGGACGGCATTTTGGCGGTCGGAGAAGGTACAGAGAAGTCGTCGATGGCGGCATCGATGACGGCGAGGTTGTCTCGAGCTGTGACCTATCGGAGGCCGTGTATTTCGGATTGAGCAGTGGTTGCAGGGGGTGATTGCAGGGAACGGTGCGCTAAACGTTGCAGGTGGGGTAAGGTCGGTAACCTGCCGCTACCGGTGCGTTGCTGTAGAATTCGGGGTTAGGATACGTACCATGCTGGTATAAGCACCAGAAGCACAAACCAGGCAACCGCTAACATCGATCTCACCCACCATCCCGCACGCAGATGGCCACCTCATTGCGCACAAAAGACGCTAAGGACGGTTGCTCTCAAGCTTTCCCCCAGCATGGACCGGCTCGCATTGTTGTTGCCATTTAGTCGTCTATGCATTCGTCTGCAGGAGGTGCGTAAGTTCGGCTTCTGTCTGAGTGATGACTGTTGCTCCCGTAGATGAATCGAGGACCACGACGCTCTTTCAGCGATCTCGAGGCGAAGAAGAGGTAGAAAAGGTCAACCCCAGTTCATGGCGGGTCGGGTAGGTCCAACGGTCTCCCATCTGCCAATGACGAGAGTTATGAGGATGATACGGTATACCTATGCGAGGTGTGCTCGCGAATTGGACCTCGCGTCGAAAATCACTGCCTTGTCTTGGTCCCATTGCAGTAGACAGACAACCTGACAACCTGGAAGCGCAGGTAGTGTGCGTGTCATCTATCCCACGAAAGGTGTGGAAGGAAGTGCTGGTGTCGGTGATGACCCCTCAAGCGACCTTTCTTACCAACTACCTACATATTCACGACAGCATTTGCCCTTGCTGGTGTATTCCAAGGCTGGCTACCTCCCACGTGATGGACCGAGGGGTACCTCTTACTCTCCGTCGCTTCTCTTCCTCGATTGTTCCTAGCCGCAATATGCGACACCCTCCCGAGCGAGCAGCAGCAGCATCTTCCCGTGATGGATGACCCTGCCGACGACGATGATGGTTGCCGGAGCGCTCAATGCCATATCTTATCAGATCCCCAAAGTCATGGGGTGATCGATGTTTGAAGTGTTGTAGACTTTGATGTTGCAGGCTGCCACTTAAGTACATGTACACGTACACATATACACACCGGCATAAAGTAAAGATGGAAGCAGACAGAGGGTCATGCAGACACGAAAACAGGAAGAGGGGCATGGTTCCACCTACATACAATTCTATGTGTACACAAACTGCCAGTACTTATACACGGACCCAAAGATCGGAGAGTCTTCCGAATGGTGGCATCTCAGAGCCTCCCGTGCGGCCTTGGCTCGCATGTCGGCTTCCACCGCGTACCTCATCGTCCCCAATTTCTCGGCGCCAGTTCTACCAGGAGCCTTCCGTCCCGCCCCGCCGACCGAATAGCGGGGTTCGCACCGTCACACTGGACTCACGGGCGCTCAGTGCCACTCGAACTGGGCCGATGGGATTGCGGGGGAAAAAGCAGCAAACCTGTGTGTCACTGTGGTCACTGTGAACGGGAAAAGTCGCAGATTGGTCCGCCGTCTGGCTGTTAGCCCAAGGTACCTAGGTAAGGCACGTTAATTACCTGATTCAATCGAATCATTACGCCTTTTTTCTGCTTATCGCGCCCCGCGCCGTGACTGCCCGCTGGCCGCCGGCCGCCATTAACCCCTCCAAACCCCTCCAATGCGGCCGTCAGCTGTGGCCGCCCGACCTCGGAACTGGCCGCTCGGCGTAGATTCCACGTCCAGTCGGGTGCTTGAAGAACAATGAGAGAAGGGGGCGAGCGAGGCGCCGAACGGCCAAAGCCCATGACTCTTGCGCGAGGCTTTTACTTCTCCTCATCCGACAAACATTCACTTTCACTTTCATCTCACACCTCTCATCCTCTTCCATTCACTCAGTCTACGTTTTGCAAACCCCAAGTTGTGATACCATCTATCTAGATATCCTCACAGAACTCAAATCTTGAGTGAAACTCTGACCCCGCGCCCGACGTACTCTGCCCCTCTTCAATTCTCTCGATACCACGCATTTCGACCTTCATCATGGCTAGCGAACAAGAATACACCCTCGAGCAGGTCAAGGCTTCCAGAGTCGCCTCAGATGACATTGACACAACATTCCGCTCAAGCAGCATTGGTAAGCAATGAGTGAGACGCCTCATCGTCCACGCCACCTCGTACACACACATACGACAACCTTGTCATGACAAAGAAACAAAAACTGAACCTTCCCTTTAGACTTGATCTCTGCTGCCCTGGGTGGAAAGATTCTCGCCTTCTCAGATGAATGGTTCGCCGAGGCCACCAACTTGTTGACGCCAACCGCGCCCATCAGGCAACCGGGAAAGATGGTCTACACCGGCGCCTGGTACGACGGCTGGGAGACCAGGCGTCACAACACGGAGCCCTTTGACTGGGTCATTGTCCGTCTTGGTGTTGCGTCCGGCACTGTCGAGGGTGTCGAGGTCGACACCGCCTTCTTCTCTGGTAACCACGCCCCCTCAATCTCGGTGGAGGGCTGCTTCAACCTCAACGACGACGAGGTCGTCTCATGGAAGGGCGGCAGGGGCCAGTGGGAGACGATTCTCGGCAACGAAGAGTGTGGCCCGTCGCAGCGCTTCGGATGGAAGCTGGCCGAGCCCAAGCAGAAGCAGTACACTCACGTCCGCCTGAACATGTACCCGGATGGTGGTATTGCCAGATTCCGTCTCTTTGGCCACGCCGTGCCCGTCTTCCCCGACGACAAGGAGGCCATCTTCGACCTGGCTGCCGCGCAGAACGGCGGCGTCGCCATCTCCTGCAGCGACCAGCACTTTGGCACCAAGGACAACCTCCTGCTGCCTGGCCGCGGTAAGGACATGGGAGACGGATGGGAGACGGCCAGATCGCGCAGCAAGGGCCACGTCGACTGGACCATTATCCGTCTCGGCGCTCCCGGTTACGTGCAGAACGTCGTTGTCGACACGGCGCACTTCCGCGGCAATTTCCCGCAAAAGTCAAAGATTGATGCCATCTCGTGGACCGAGAGCGGTGAGCCGGGTGCGGACGCCGCCGGCTGGACGGAGATTGTGGCGCCTAGCAAGTGCGGTCCGGACGCGGAGCACGAGTTCCCCAGCGCCGTCAAGGACAAGGCATTCACACACGTCAAGATCACCATTATTCCGGATGGCGGAGTGAAGAGACTGCGCGTCTTTGGCAAGAGAGCATAGACGTTGCGCGGTGAGAACAAGAGCTAGCTACGTATTCTGTGTCTGGATCCCACGAACAGGGTTTACAAGCATGGAAGCATAGGCCGCGAAGGAGTAAAAGGCAAAACCAAAACCAAATACGAGGATAGATAAACAAATCTCAAAGAAAAAATTGAAATAAGCGAATAAGGGGTAAACTTCATGCCAGGACCTACCTTGCTTCCTTGCGTCTGTGTGAGTGTACCTGCAACCGGTCTTTAAGTGATTTGGCCGTGCTGGCTAATCATAAGGGGCATTGGCCAGAAGAGAGATGAAGGGGTCAGCCTCAAGGCATTTCTACTATTCTTAGGCATCTCTACCGCAATGGGGGTTGAAGATGAGTACATTACATAGCAAACCGACGGCAGGTATATTATGTATATTTTACCTCAGGGTAATGGTGCCGAGGAGGGGTTCTCAACTTGACAGGAGAGAGCGATCTTCAGTTGGTAAAGTTCCGTCAGGGGAAGCTTGCTGGGACATTGCACAGCCAGGGCATGCACGGTCCATACGTAAGGTAAGGTCCTCTTCTGCAGTAAGGTACCTAAGGTAGTACCTTACTCTGGCACTGGTTGGAGTCAGGCGGGGAAGCTTCCTTCAGCATTGCTGTTCAGGCAGTGGATGAGATGTGAGGTAGGTAGCACGGTAGGCACGGATGGGTGCCCGCCGTAATCAATTAGTGACATCAACAGCCCGATCGCCCGTCGTTCATCTACCTGAACTTGGCCCCGTTGGCGTGGACCGTTGCGGGACTCGGGTACCGAGAGTCCTTTCCTATGGGACAGGACTGGGTCCGGGACTGGGCACACAGCACACAGCACACAGCACACAGCACACAGCACACACAACTGGACCAAGTGGATTGGACACGGAACAACACTTCGACATCACACGACAGTAGCGGCGCCGAGCGCTATTTCGTTCCTGTTCAACTACCTACCTTTACTTCAACTACTTATCCAGTGCTGGGAGACAGACCTCGCCCGACATCACAGCTTTTTTGGGAGCCACGAAACTTTCCGTGCGCCGTTTCCCACAAACACCCGGCCCGCATCTTACCTCGAAACTCGCGCCGCATTAAACAATACCCTCGGCCGACTCATTAATGCCTACCGGGCCTCCTGGTTGCCCCTCCTCCCACCATGGACTTCGAGGACGCTAGTGGTGGTTTCGGCGACAAGAAGCCACGCCCACTGCCAGACGACCTGCCCAAGTCTCTCAACGACCGCAGTCGCCGTCCCGTCGAGTTGGTTCCAGAGACGGAGATGTATGATGGATGGCAAGGTTAGTTGAGGTTCCCACGTCATCCGCACACTGCCCACGAGACCGAAGAGGGGGAGCATCGCATACTGACGCCGTCCAACACATCACATAGGACAATCGCAATTCCTGACCACACCTGTCCTTGCAAAGCCCCTCAACTTTGGCGACCTGAGCCTGGACGATCGCACCTATGACGAGGACATCACAGCAGGCCCCAAGAACAGCGACGCGCGCCTCATGGAGATGATTGCCGCACAAGCCGCCCACCGGGTTGGGCCCGGCTTCGACGACGAAGAAACAATACTGTCAAACGAAAAGTTGTCCGAGGATGAGAAGAAGGACTCGCTTCAGAGAGCTCTGAACATGGCTGCCAGCAATGGCGACGTCGAGAGGGTCAGCAGCATCGTGAGCGGCAAGGCAAAGGCTTACGTCGATATCAATGCGCCGGACGAAGACGGAACCCCGCCACTGATATATGCAAGCTGTTTTGTAGGTTATCGCTTGATGGAGGGGGAGAAGTGCTATCGCTGACTCGGATTCAGGGCCACGAGGGTGTCGTGCAAGCGCTCATCGACGCTGGCGCGGACGTCGACAAGCAAGACCGAAATCAGTGGAGCGCTCTTATGTGGGCGATGACGAATAGGCATAAGAGCATCGCCAAGACTCTCCTCGACAACGGTGCTTCGGCCGAACAAAAGACGTCGTCTGGCCGGACAGCCTTCGACTTCGTCCCTCCCGACAGCGACATGTCCTTCTACCTACACGATAGCGGCTACAACATTGGAAATGCTGGTACCGACGACTTCTACAACCCTGGCTTTTCACAGGATCGGTTCGAGGAAGAAATGGCCGAGAATGAATTGCGGAGACGGATGATGATGGACAGCGCCCGAGATCTTGAGGTTGACTTGGGCAATGTCGGCATGGACGACCAGCCAGAGGTAAGCTACGGCCGGGCACATGTCAAAAGTCTATATGCTGACGTGCGCAGAACTCCGAGGAGCTCGAGGAAGAGCAACCAGAGTTCGAATGGTCTCGCTGTCTTCACGACCAGATGTTTGTTTTCCAGGAACACGAGCTCGACCGCATTCTCGACATTATCATTACGAATATGACGCCCCAGCGATCACCGGCACAAAAGCCTGTACCGGCGAACATGATTTTCTTAAGCGCACGATATGCACACTACCACTCCAGCCCCGACCTCCTAGCCAAGCTCATGATTTCGGCCATGGACAAGATCAACGACGTAGTCGAACAGTATCAGTGGGACATGACGATACTGGCCTTCTGGATATCAAATGCCACTTTGTTGCTTCACTACCTGAAGAAAGACGCCGGGCTCGTGGAGGCCACGGTCGAGTTCCAGGCTCAGCTGTCCGAGCTCATCAACGAGATATTCATCCTCATCGTGCGGGACGCCGAGAGGCGCTTAGACAAGGTGCTTGACGCAGCGATGCTAGACCACGAAACCATCCCAGGCTTCGAAGACATTGCGTTCCAGAACGAGTGGAGGATCTTCAAACGAAAAGCACAAGTCAAGGAAGAGCCCATGGAGAAGCGCTTCCGACCCCCTTCCCCAAAGCAACGGGCGAAGCCTGCTCCGCGCAACGTCACTTCACTACTCTCATCCACCTTGTTTGTTCTTGATCTTTATGATATCCACTCAGTTATTACGGCGCAAATCATCTCTCAACTTCTCTACTGGCTGGGGGCAGAGCTCTTCAACCGCATCATGTCCAACCGAAAGTACTTGGCTCGGACGAAAGCGATGCAAATCCGCATGAACGTGTCGACACTGGAGGACTGGGCTAGGACCAATAACCGCCAACCAGAACACTACGAAGGAGGCGAGACAAAGTCCTCGGGCGAGACGACCATAGACGCTGCGAGGCGGCACATGGCCCCCGTCATTCAGCTGCTTCAATGGCTACAGTGCTTCTCTTCACTAGGCGCCGACGACCTCGAGGCCTTGGTCGGCACCCTGCAGCAGTTGAAGAGGTTGAGCCCGCAGCAGCTCATACATGCGGCTTCTCATTACAGGCCGGAGGTTGGCGAAAAGGGGTTGCCTAAGAGCGCTCTCAAGTATCTCAACGCAATCCAGGCAGAGCATGTTCGGAGGAAGGAGGATCGCAAGAGCAGCGCACCGTCAACACCGATCAAGACGAAGCCCGCAAACGGCGGCATAGGGGGAACGCCTGGAAGCCAGACGGCGGCAAAGACGCCAGGAGCTGACGAGAGTGACGAAGAAGAGGACGACGCGCCGGAGAACCTGCTCATGGACCCGGCCATGATGCTACCCTTCATTCTGCCATCAGTCACGGATATGCTAGTCTCCTACGGCGCTGGTTTCGGCGGTGTCAACAAAGAGAGGGCACGCAAATATATCCCTACGGTACCGCCCGAGTTCCTGTCGAAGCTCGAAGCTAGCGGCGCGCGGAAGGGCCCGATGTTTAGTGAGAAGGACTGGGAGAACGAAGAGGTCTGAAGAGAGAGAGAGAGAGAGAGAGAGAGAGAGAGAGAGAGAGAGAGAGAGAGAGAGAGAGAGAGAGTGAGAGAGTGAGAGAGTGAGAGGCAAGCTTTCCAGGGGCGGATAAAGTATATGAGTAATGGGAATCAGCATTCGACGTTCAACGGGTTGTCCCATCAAGCGCCACGGCGCAGAACACCACACAGCATTAGGGGCATTGGTGTGAAGAGTCGAGCTCCGAGCCTTTCCAGGACATGATAGCAAGTAAGGCAAAAAGATCCCGATAAGCATAGCGTTTGATTGATTCGACGGGGGCAGACGGACGATGCAAGGGGAAGCAAGTAGGGTCCACTGCGATATTGTGATAGTCCCTGAGGGGAGCACGTCGCGTACGAGGGGATTCCATGCGATGGAGGAGGTCATGGTACGGAGTAACAGCACGTGCTGGGCTGTCTGTAGGTAGAAGAGCTCAGCGATGGGAGTAGAGAATATCCAATCTATTCTCAAGACAATTGGTCCATCTGTTCTCCTCCCGTTCTCGTTGACTCATACTGTATTGTGCTGGCTTTGGAGAAGATAGCCCCCCCCCCCCCCCACTCTACCCTTAGGTTTGCGCTGTTCGTGGGCAAAGCGGGGAGCATGGAGAAGGGGTCTTCACTGAAGAGGGGAGAAATGCAGGCACGCGGATTTTGCCCTGCGAATAATTCGTCCGAGTCGGCGGTTCCCCCGCGAGTCTGACTTGAGCCACGTCGACGGAGCACAAGAGGAGTCACGAGAGGTTTTCGAGATCCACGATGGAGAGCCGCGGTTCAAGTTCACTTCCTCTACTTTGACGTGGTATGGAGAACCGAGGCGCTTACAGATTATTCAGGGCAGAACTTTTTTTGGCTGCTGTACGATTACACTAGGTGGCCTTCTGTGGACCGTGGAACGAACATCCCGTGTTGGCCCTGTGTGGGACGACCCAGTGACACGGAAAAGGGGGGGCAAGCGCCTAGGGTACCTAGGGAAGGAGGTGGTGCGGAGGACCCTGAAGTTCGAATTGGAGAGGGGCGAGAGGGGGAGGGGGAGGGGAGGTGGTGAAGTCGAACCCGATGCGTCCGTAGCAAATGTCTCGGATCCCTCCGACTAGAATTGTACCTACCTAGCATTCGTTCCAATCAGTGAAGTAGGTATTGGAATCAATCACCCATTGGCTGGGCCTCGTCGTGGAAAGTGTCACTCGCGGACTACCTAGGATGTGCCACGTCAGATCTTTGTTCCTGGCGCCGTGCTGGGCCTGGCTGGCAGAGTATCCGTACACTGCACCACTGCACCTATCCCTCTCGAGAGAAGCGGGCGGGCAGGCAGGCAGACGGGCTCTCCAAGAAAAAAGTTGACGAAAAAAGTGTTGGAACGCAAACGCTGTTGGGTGCCTGGCTCTGTGTGATTTGCCAACTGGTCGAGATGTGCTTCGTGGGACAAACCGGTGAACCGCATGGATAGAGCCGGTCGGGAAGTTTCCGTTTGCTTCCGAAAGGTCTGGATCTGTTGTTTATTGCTGTATGGGGCGCGAAGGCGTGACATGTTTTGATCCCGTTGCATTTTGGAGTGATTTGTCCGGGGATCGGAGAGGAGAGGGGAAAGGTCTCGAAGCTCAGCTCGAGCGATATTGCGCATTCTTGGGAATCGATTTGCTTTGCATCCCCCAAAACAGTAAGGTAAAGTGCCTGAGCGAGCCTGGGAAAGACAAGAATCGAAATGCTCGAAAACTCTCATTTCATCTCAAACCCCTCATATTGGCTTGGACATGGATGACGCCAAAGACCTTTCCCAATCCGTATTCGTCCGCGATTTCAGGTCAATGTGAAAAGGGAGGAGAACCCGGAATTGCTTATAAGTCTTCGTGATCGTACATGGGTATGAACGTAGGGCAACTGGAAGTCAACAAGTCAATAACGTCGCTTGGGCCAACCGTGGATGCTACCAGCTTTCCGGCTCATGTACGTACCTTTTAGGGTAACTAGACGCCTAGGTTTCCCTGCTCGTCCTAGTTAGACCTCTAGCGGTGTCTCTGAACTTCTGAAGGACATGGAAGGCTGAGACACAGGGCATTTGGTGTTGATCCAGACGAGCCGCAAGTCGCAACAGAGTGCCTGTCGATCAAGGGAGGACATTAAGCTAGCCGTATCGTGTGTTTACTTGCGATGATATGCGGCACGGCTTTAAGCTTCAGATGGGAGGCTACCTCGGGCCCGGGAGCAAGGGATACGGAAAGCCTGTCCATGGGGTGGGGACGACTCGGATTGGTCGTCAGACGAGCAGTACTCCAGTAACTAGCTATCGCCATATCGTAAATTGATGGAATTGGCGCTGCGGTAGGCTGCAAAGACTGACAAAGAGACCTGGTTGCAAACAGAGGGAATCCGGGGTCAAATGTAGAGGCACGTTTGTTTGCATTGGGTGTTGGTCGTCGGAAGGCCCCGTTCCCGTTTCTTCTCATTTCTTCTTGTCTTCCTTTTTCTTCTCGTAGATTGGCAGGTCATGAGAGACATGTTTCCGATAGCCCATGGAACCAGTGGACCGATGGAGACTTTTTCGACGATTCAGTGAGCAATTAGTGACGACCGACTCCTACCGACGATGCAGGAGCCGAGATGGGAAGGTCAAGAGATGCGTTCCTCTTCGCCATGATCCGCCAGGCCAAAGGTTGGAAATCTTGGAAGACGGAAATCTCGTGCTCCCTCTTCACCTTGAACAAGTGTGACAGCAATCTACCACCGCCTCCGCCGGCCGTATCTGTGTCGCCAAGTAGAGATGGTCGTGTAGCTGTGTATGATCTAGGCAGACGGGAGATCAAACGGGCCAACCACCCAATAATCCATGTTGCACCGTCGTCGGTTGCCGTGGTTGTGGTCGCGTTGAGATTTGAGATTCGGCGGTCATGAAGAAACCAGCCATGCGAACGGAGCTCGTCATGCAGCAACGTGGGTCCGTCAATGGCTGACTGACTCCAAGTAGCGGTCTCTATTGCAGAGATGAAGAAGAGAAAGATAGAGCGCTTCACCGACTCAATGGCAATGGCCTGGCGACGAGGGTGAATTTGTGAAGTATCCGTACGGCCCGTCTTTTCTCTCCCTTCCTTTGGGTAGGGACGCATGGACAGATGGCGGGAACTGGGGCCAATGACCCGATCAAGACTCGTTTGCTGTACAAGGCGACATGGGTCGTTGGCGATGTGGTTGACTGACTGACGACGTCTTTCTTTTAGATTTGTACAGCTTCACCCCCAGTCGTCTTCGCTCTATTTCCTTTGTGCGAGTATTGAGTTTTCCTCATGCGCGCATCCACATGAAGTGAGTTTTGTACCCGGCTACATTGCACTTTACTGCTGATTCCGTCACCAGGCCATGGTTACAACTGGCAAACAATTTGTGCCCGGAGGAGGTTCAAGGACGACGGACGGCCCTTCCTCACAAGTTCAGACGACAACACCCACTTGCCAAATGTTGAAGCAGGGGGGGGGGTCCACTCGGGCTGGCCCAGCCAAGGGCTTCTTTCTGTCCAATTAAATACTGTGTTACGGTGGGACTATCGCCTTTCTGGGACGAAAAGCTGCCAGCATATAAAGACCCAGTGGATAAGGTACTTGCCAAGTTGCCAACCATTCCGATTCCAGGAATGTACTTGGGAGTACGTACCTATCTAGGTACCTCGACAGAGTCGACACAGAGAAGCCCTGCTCTCGCTAGGAGCGCATTCCCCACCCCCGACCGCCTCCAACGTGTTGTGGACTTGAACTTCCAATGTGGTCCTGGTGCCGGGCCACTACCGCGATGTATTGCTGCCACCGCCGCTGCCACCGCTTCCTGCATTTGCAACCCGACCCTGCTGGGCTGGAGAAACGATGGTCATGAGCCTGTCACTCATGCCGTTTTCTGTTCAATCTGACGAACGCGGCAAAGACGGCTGGGTGTGTAGGAAATAGAGGGGGCACGTTGGCACGGGGGGAAGCAATTGTGGAAGAAAGAAGAGAAAAGAAAGGATGCCCTGCTCTCTATCTCTTTTCCCCCAGCTTAGTTATCCATACCTTCCTCCTTCTCAGCTATCTCGAATCCGGACCTAGAATTTGCGTATTCACCACTTCATGTCCACACTGCCTCACATATCCTTCTTCACCTTCAAGAAACTTTCCTGCCTGCACCTACCTTAGCGTTTATTCATCCTCCCAAGACGCACTTCCGATAGACCACTCGCCTTTGAGCACCCGCTTGAACCCAAAAACCCCCACAACGAGACTCTTTCCCGTCACCCAACGGATCTCAACAAACCGACCTCACTCACCTCATAAAGGTAGCCAATCCTCCCTACCAAGCATTCCTCCACCTCCGGCGCAGTATTATAAAGTATTTTAACACCTGTTTCTTGCTCAGTCTTACCTTGAATTTGCTCGTCGTTTGCTATCTAGCACAGACGCAGACTCGATCAAGTGACTTGACTTACACGACGCCAGCAGAGAACCACACCAAACTCGCGAGCGTCGTCCTTGTCATCGCCGACCTCGCATCCCGCTTGCTCCTACGAATACACACCCATCCCTCGACTATCGCCGCACGTATACGAATACGTCACGGGCCTGCTGCATTTGCCTCAAACAACCTTCTCTTGGGTTGTTGTTGGAATTGCATTGCATCCCGCCCTCATTCCTCACCTTGGGCTCTTCATCTTGTTTGCCCAATCGAGCTAGCGCCCACCTAGTCCCCAGGTCTTAATTTGGCACACCTGAATCCCAAGCTTACGGCCCTCAGCGCGCTCGACGGTGAGCCACTCACCCTCCACTTATATCGTCACCACACCCGCCTTGGCCGCCTTTCCACTCCATCTTGCTTCAGTTCGACGCCGGCATCTAGACATCGCGGCTCGGCCTGCTACTGAGCAGTTGAGCACGGTCTGATCGGCCCCAAGCTACACCCACACACGCCCCGGCCGGAGCACCCTGAAATATCACGCTATGGCACCCCAAAGATTCGCCAGCATGCGCTTGAAGTCCCGGCCTACGCTC